TCTGGGGAGCCGTTGTAGGTGTTGGTGAGGGAAGGTGTGGGAGAAGGATTATTCTGATGATTGCCAGGCTCGGGCTTGACAGTATGACCTCTCGACGCTCTTGCCTTTGTCATTTTGAGTGAGGTAAGAGGAAGAGGATGAGAGGATTGAGAAGAGGAAACTTTCTGAGAGCAAAGTAGAGGGTCGACGAGGAATATATCCCCAGGTGGAGGTACCTCAAAGAACGGCGAAGGGTCAATTGACGACCCAACCCAGCTCTAGGCAGCACAAAAAATGAGTGAGAGTGAAAGAAGTGAGTGAGAAGCAAGAGAAAGAGGTGAATGTGAAGTTAAATCTTAAGGTAAGGTAAGGTGAGGTGCTGAAGCTGAAGCTGGATATCAGGCAGGTGAAGGGAAGGAGCTCTGGGGAGCTTGAAAGCTTTAAGAGCTCTTTCCTCGTTTGGGTGACCTGAGCAACCACAAGTCCCGCTCTCCTGGAGCTCTCATTAAAGTGGTTGTTAGTGTTAGGAGGGACAAGGGAAGGTGCAACAGAACGTCATTTTTCAGCGCTCTAAAAGGCGATGTAATTGATTTTTAATCTTCTAATGTTTTCTATAGTATGAATAATCAACCCTTCCATATTTTCCAATATTTCTGTCGATTTGATGCTGATGATATCTCACCATGTTGGTCGTGGAGCAAGGTAGCCACTATCGTGGAATATTGGGAACTGGAGCGAACGAGGTGCATCGTCGGTCTCCCAACTGGCAGGGATGTCAGGGACCTCAGGGGCGCAAGATTCGAAGAGAATGGCTGGCAGTGGACCTTGGCCTCGGCGATCCCCTGCGAAGGTAGAGAGACGCGACTTGGTACTTCCTCGAGCTGTCCCAGGTGCACAGCTGCCAGCTGGATTTCGCCCAAGATGAGTGCATCTTCACCTGGTCAACCAAGTCACTGCTCACCATCCAGGCACCACATTGTCGCGTGTGCTGCCTGCTTTACACGTCCTCGACACGCTCAGGTACCGACGCGTAAATTGATTTTATGAGTGTCAATTGGAGAAGCTTCCTGCAAGGTACCTGCGACCTCTTACATGATCTCAGATTCCACCCCAATCGGTCGACAACGCTGTCTTACCATACTTACCGTGTCATGCCATGGCATCTGAGAGTTGCAGGTGAATCATCTACAGCAGCCTTTCAGCTTCTGGTCTGTTCTTGCAGATGCTGCCTACATTATCTTCTGGAGTCGTCCATTGGAAGCATTTTCGCATATCTGGCTTGAAGGATTTGTAGACGAAAAAGAAATGTTTGGCTTCTCAAAGGGACACGAATGAGACGTTGAGCTTGTCGCATGTGTTCCTGGGCCGCCTCACCTCCAGGTCACAGTGAACGATTGCTTATCGATAGATACGTAGCCTGGAGACCACCTGGCGGGAGGCTCCTTCCTGCCACGCAAGGGAATCCAGTCCACCCCGCAAAGGGTCCTGAGCAGTAAACGGGTACACCTCTACGAAGGTAAAATAGGTGCATCACAAAGTCTCTCAATAACACCAAGAAGCCCCCCGCAGCCACACCTAGAAACGACACGAGCCACCTGGTGACCCTCCTCCTATCGTTAGACCCCTGCCAACACATGCATTGCCTGCTCTGAATTTATTACTTGGGACCTCACAAGGTTGGGTGAACACTTTCTCAGGGGACCCCCTTCTAAAACTCACGAAGCGGTGACGTTGCAAATAGCGTCTTCAATTCCGCACCTCAGCTACCCGACCTGACTTTGTACCGGGTATCTCGACCTCTATCTAAGGCTTCTTTCCCTTCCCTTTCTCACCACCACAACCTGAGATACCCATCCCACTCGAACCATGTCGCTGCAAGTCCCCTACCGTGGAAAGGCACCCAGAGAGGGTGCCACCAAGGCCGTCATTCTGGTAAGACCATCTTGCTTAATGGTGTTTTGCGCGTCGCTTTATTGTGCGGCGCGTGTATCCCAAAATCTCAAAACCCCGCCTTGCTACTCCCCCCTCCCTCACAAAGCTCGTCAAAGCTCATTGTCCTCTGCAAACGGTCGCAAGCTAACCAGCACCTTGAAATCTTCAGGTCGGAGGCCCCTCCAGAGGAACTCGATTCCGTCCTCTTTCCCTCGACGTTCCCAAGCCCCTGTTCGAAGTCGCTGGTCACCCCATCATCTGGCACAACTTGGCTGCCATTGAGCGAGTCCCCGGCAAGGAGATCACCGAGGTCCTCATCATCGGCTACTACGACGAGTCCGTCTTCCGCGACTTCATCAAGGACGCCTCCCACGAGTTCCCCAACCTCTCCATCAAGTACCTCCGCGAGTATGAGGCCCTCGGCACTGCGGGCGGTCTCTACCACTTCCGCGATGCTATCCTCAAGGGGCACCCTGAGCGCCTCTTCGTCCTGAACGCCGACGTCTGCTGTTCCTTCCCTCTCCCTGAGATGCTTCAGCTCTTCCACGACAAGAACGCCGAGGCCGTCATTCTGGGTACGCGCGTCTCTAACGAAGCCGCCACCAACTTCGGTTGCATCGTCAGCGATGCCCACACCCGCCGTGTGCTCCACTACGTCGAGAAGCCCGAGTCGCAAATCAGCAACCTGATCAACTGCGGTGTCTACCTCTTCTCCACCGACGCCATCTTCCCCTCCATCAAGACCGCCATCAAGCGCCGTACCGATCGTCCTTCGCGCCTCGTCTCCTACCCGAGCTCCGAGAACCTTGAGAACAGCTTCATCATCACCGACGATGACGAGGAGCGCAAGAACGAGGTCATCCGCCTCGAGCAGGATATCCTAGGTGACCTCGCCGACACCAAGCACTTCTTCGTGTACGAGACCAAGGACTTCTGGCGCCAGATCAAGACGGCTGGCTCAGCCGTCCCTGCCAACGCCCTCTACCTGCAGAAGGCCTGGCAGAACGGCTCCAAGGAGCTCGCCCAGCCCAGCGCTAACATCATCCCTCCCGTCTTCATCCACCCGACTGCCACCGTCGACCCCACCGCCAAGCTGGGCCCCAACGTCTCCATTGGACCCCGCGTCCACGTCGGCCCCGGTGCCCGCATCAAGGAGTCCGTCGTCCTTGAGGACTCTGAGATCAAGCACGACTCGTGCGTCCTGTACTCTATCATCGGCTGGGGCAGCCGCGTCGGTGCTTGGGCCCGTGTTGAGGGTACCCCCACCCCCGTCGGCAGCCACACGACGAGCATCATCAAGAACGGCGTCAAGGTTCAGAGCATTACCATTCTCGGCAAGGACTGCGGTGTCGGTGATGAGGTCCGGGTTCAGAACTGCGTGTGCCTGCCCTTCAAGGAGTTGAAGAGAGTGAGTCTGCCCCGACTACCGTCAGTGTTTTCATGTTGCTCACAATCTTATAGGATGTTTCAAACGAGGTCATTATGTAAATCGACAGGTTTGGGACACGTTGGATGTGGCGGGGGATAACGGACGACGTAATGAAGAAAGGATTTGCATTGGGGTCAGATAGAGCTCCATCACTCTTCATAGATGCATGCGTCTTTGGTCACAAAAAGCACAAGTCGAATTCAGCAATTCAGAGCATTTCAATCTGCCATTTCATCTACTTTACATGTGTGATGAGTCTGGAGGACGTACCTAGCCACAAGCTAGTGAGTGAGGTAAACTACCGGACCAGTTAATGAGTGATTCACTCAACCGGATTCCTACGATGCCTCAAGACAGTGTCACCCGGGATGCCTCAGGTAGGGCTTCCGCAATCACCGCCTAGGACCCTTATGAGGAGTGAATCATGCTCAGTCTTCAACAACAAGTCCTGGGCCGTATGGTCGAGGGGCGAAGGCCGTGAAGTGCTGACTGGGATAGTGATGCTCCTATTCCTTTCAGGACTCCTGCATTTAACCCTCGGTCGGTCCATCTTTTTTCTTTTTTCTTTAATTTTTAAAAATGCCTCCTATTTCTACTGCCCATATCGTCGTCTTGTTTTGCTGTGCCTGAGGTAGGTGAGGCAGATCAACCCCTCCCCCCTCCTCCTCTTCCACCCATTCCATGTTCACTGCCCACAACCGTTATCAGGGGTGAATCATACTCAATCTTTAACAATGACTACTGGGTCGTATGGCCGAGGGGCGAAAGCCGTGAAGTGCTGACTGAGACAGTGATGCTCCTGTCCCTTTCAGGACTCCTGCATTCAATCCTCGGTTGGTCCCTCTTTTTTTACACTTTTTCAGATCTGTAGTCATGATGAGATGGCGAGTATCTCTGTGCTACTCTGGTGGCCTTTTGTTTTTGTTTATTCATTCATGGTCGTATGTCATATGGAGGCAAGGTCTAGATCACGTCATCTCAAGCTACGGATGGCCAGTCGTATTTCATGCAACTTACTAGATAGATTGAACAGAGGGAGACATAAGGTTGTAATTTGCCTTCTTCTAACAACATGAGACGCTCAAATTCCAGGTGCTCCTTCCCTTGTTAAGGCGCCTTAATTTCAAGACCTGATATACAATTTTCAGTTGGATGACCGTCAAGAAATGCTGAGAATTGGTTCTGTGTGAAAAGGAAGGTACGTTGATACTCGATCCCCTCGCTCCTTCCTCCGACAGAATACCTCGCCTCACCTTTTGACGTCCCACTTCTCCTCATATCTTACCCTAATCCTCCCCGGCACTTCATCCACTACCTTATCCCACGTACCTGCTACCTTGACCACTCCCCTTTCTCAATCCATCAACTTTCCTCGTTACCTTCCTTGCCTTGCTTTCTTCACTCATCCCATCCACGTACTCGTTGAATTCTCTCATCTTGAGGTTCCGGCGTTGACAAAATACCAAGCCTAGCGAAAGCAACGTCCAAGCGTGTCATCATGGGCAACGAGAAAGGACCCAAGAAAATCCTCATGCAGAGGGGCTTCAACTTCCCTCCTGGCCCGATGTTCCCTGACAGAGAGACCGTCCACCTCGTCTTGGCGGCATTCTTCGGAAGCGATTGGACCTGGGCCAACAGCAATGTCAACGACATGATCGCCATGACCAGAGAGGCCGAAGCCTGCCTTCTGGGAATCTTCCACACCCTCGTTGCTAGAGCCGACCTCTACGGAGCCCTTCGTGGTCATTCTGCGTTCTATGCGACCGTTGCGACTGAGCTCAAGACCAGAGGCGAACTCAGTGGAGACGCACTCAAGGATATCGACGAAGTTTACGTGCGCGCCCGTCGCGGCGACCCGGGCGAATGGCTCAAGACCGATCTCAACATGGCTGTAGATGCTTGGATTTCAGTCAAGGACATGATTGCGACTCTTCCGCCCCTTCAGGCCTTGTCCCTCACGGCCCGCCCCAACGAAATGGGTGCCCTCACGGCTCAATTCCAGAGCGCCAGCGTCGCCGGACCCGCAGAGAATAAGACCTGGCCTCCTGCTCACTTCGACCCGCACGAACTTGCCCTCATCGCCACACCGGAGCTTCGAGGCGTCCTCTTCGGCAAGACGCCCCAGACCCCTGGCGCCCTGCCTGCGACTCCCAGCAAGGCTACTCTCTCCCTCGATACTCGTGCCTATCTCTGCTCTCTCGCTCTTTCCAACTACCAGCCCGACAGCACCTGGAACTTGGTTCTTACCCCCATCGCCAACTTCAAGAATCAGATGGAGCGTCGCCAGTGGTCAATCCCCTCAGGCGGACAATCTCTTTACTGCTTCAGCATTGAAACTGCCTTGGTTCAAGCCGTCAAAGCCTTCCAGAATGGAAAGGCCATCTCTATCGGTCTTGCCACTCCTTGGTTTGGTCGCACTTGGGGCGCGATTCCTTCTGTCGACGAGGTCTCTGGCGCCGACACGCAGCAGGGCGTCTAGTCCTCGCTCTGCCCTCGTCTCGGCTTCGCCATTGTACTTCACAAGTATGCCGACGGCCTTGAGCTAATCATTTTCGACCCTATCGCCCGCTACAACCACATCAAGAACAACCCTCAGATCAAGGCAAGCCTCTCCAGCCTCTTTGCCTTTCGCCAGTCTATTGGTGACAATACCGAAGCGGCGATTCAGGGAGCTGGAGGACGCTTGATCCGTGGATGGTACGGCGGCAAGCTGGAGATGCCTGCCAACGGAGCTGATAGTGTTCAGCTGGCGAGTGAGTGGATTCGTCTGCTCGTTCTCGCCGGCGGCTGTCACGGTCAAGATCCTTTGGCTGTTAATGATGAGCAGTGGGCTCAGTGGGGCTTCGAGGAGGTGCAGATTTGAGGTACGAAGACGATTTGATCCCTTTTTTCATCCTTTGCCCCTTTCATTCGGTAGCTTGACGCTAACAATCATATAATCTGACAGTTTTTCTCGGCTCGAATACAATCCTCTCGGCCTCGTTGCCCTACATATCATCAAAAACCACGTCTCTTTCAGGCTGAAAATTTGGTTCCAGGAGGTATGGCTTCGCCTAACATCTCCTCTTCACAAAGTGGGATGAGAACGACGGGATAACGCACGACATGATAGCGCTAGACGGGATAGAGGTGCCTATCAGATGATAGTGGAGACTGGATAATGGACTGCGGACAACTGACATAGGATGGTTAGGGACGGATTATGGGTTGTGGAACGTCACCCTCTTAGTCTTTCCAAATACCACAAGAAAAGTCCTTGAATGAGTCTCTTCTCAGTGTTACATGTGACAGCGAGGCCTTCGTGACTCTCTTTCGTGATCATAGGTTTGGCAATTATCATCGTCGGATTTCTCATACTCGAATTTGGCGCAGACTTTTATTCTCTCACACCATGGGCACATAATTGTAGACGCTCCTCCTGTTTTACAGGCTTCTTCAGAGGCTTGGGAATGGAAAGAGCCAGCAAAGAACCTCAAATCGCGAAACGATTTGTGTAAATCAAAGCCAGGCATGTATCTATATTCAGAAATGAGTGCACTGTGGTGATCAGCGAAAACAAGAATCCCCCATTACCTCGTGGAAAAAGAGATTTGAAAAGATATTCACCATTGAAGCAGATGACCACGGAGACTAATCGTCAATTCAGAGGACCAGTTACATGGCACGATGTAGCGGCATTTTCTTTCCTTGACCCTGACCTATGCTGCACTTGTCATTCATTCGAGGAAGCACACCCTTTTTGAAATCTGAAAAGATACAAGTAGGAAGATTGACGATGGAGGAATCAATCGTGCGAAAGGAGGCCGATATATCGCCGTCCTCAAAAGCGTCAGTCTGTAACGGAGGCTTCTGCTATGAAATAGCGCTTCGACTTCCGCGATATCAGCGAAAGGAAAGACAGACGGACAGACGGACAGACGAACAGGTATGGAGCCATCTCGCGGGTTACTGAATGTGACGGACATATCTAAAGTCTTGGCAGAGCATCGCAAAGGTCAATATTGTAGCCCTCCGACAACAGACTTGCGTTTCGGTCGAGAAGCTGCCTGACTTGTAGATATACAAACATGGGAGGCCATGGGAGCAAAATGAAAAGTCACATCGACGAAAAAAACGAAAAAAGAATGGACCAACCGAGGATTGAATGCAGGAGTCCTGAAAGGAGCCGGAGCATCACGGTCCAGTCAGCACTTCACGGCCTCGCCCCTCGGCCATTTGGCCCGGTGCTTGTTGTTGAGATGTTGAGATGATTCACGTCTCATAAGGGTCAGGAAGGGTGGACTTGGATGGGAAAAAATGAAAAAGGATGGACCGATCGAGGTTTGAACGCAGGAGTCCTGAAAGGAACAGGAGCATCACTGCCCAGTCAGCACTTCACGGCTTTCGCCCCTCGACCATATGGCCCGGTACTTGTTGTTGCAAAATAGAGACAGTTGGTTCCCTATGAGGCCCAGTAGTGGTCAATCTAGAGATGTGGAAAAAAAAAAAAAGGAGTGGACCGATCGAGGATTGAACGCAGGAGTCCTGAAAGGAACAGGAGCATCACTGCCCCAGTCAGCACTTCACGGCTTTCGCCCCTCGACCATATGGTCCGGTTATTGTTGAGATATTCACACACTTGATCGCCTATAGGTCTATCGGTCGGTCTTCCCGGTATCCCAGGCATCCTGTCCCGAACCTGCTTGCCCTCGATCCAAACCAAGCAGCTTCATCGTGAGAATACCCTGCCTTACCGCCCCACTATGACCGGTAGCCAAGTAGTAGGGATGTTTTGCGATATCTTTCACACAATCTGTTCAGTGTATCTAAGTTCTGGAGCTGCCTCTCAAGTAGTCTGCGAGCTACCTTGTCTTCGATCACATCTCGTGTATACGAAATCCGTGGCGGAGGGTTGGCAAGAATGGCTAGACTCGCCTATCAAATCGTATTGATAGGCGAGTCTTTGATATGTTACTCCATCGTTGACATATGTTGGGAACAGAAGCCCCCGGAAAATTAGCAGTTTGGCTGTCGCGAACTTTGCCCAACGCTGACAAGCTTCCGTTTATGGTTGTACGTGACAGGAACACACATCACCATTGAAGATTTCAATTGAAATTTGAATAACTATTTCCCAAGAGTCTGAATGATCTCAATTGGAAGGTTCCTAGCTCTCGTCGCGACAATGGTGACTGTGACGAAATTGGCGTCATAGGCATGCTGGTTGTTTACTTGTGATTTGTTTACCAGGCAACGAGTTCAACATCGTGATCCACTGTATAAGTAACGATCTCACTGCGAGCATAAAAGCCAAAAGATAGAGCTTATATGGTTTCATTCGAAGCCTGCTCGAATATGCCAGCCAGGGAACACTCTGTCGAGGACTCGAGGCTGGCAAAGTAGAGGTGAAGTCGGAGGTTGCCATGCCAAGCCATCCACTCTAGTGGGCCAAGGCCACCGATTGGGAGCCGCAGTGCCGCAGTGGGCCTCTCAGCTATCCGCCCCCGGCATTTCGCCGGGGAATTCTTTTCCTCCGCAGAGGGGGAAGGTGCATTGCTGGACCCGGACGCTCATGCCTTTCCTCCCAACCCTCGAGGCGGGACCTTCCAAGGAAAGAGTCATCGGACTGAGAAGTCAAATTCAGCCGCGTGCATGCACAGATTCGTCCCAATTTACTCGTGACTGCAGACAAACTTGATTCTTCCAACAATCCGATGTTCAACAGCTCAGCAAACGTCAGTCAGCTCAACACTTTACACTAGGGATCCTGGCAACGGAGTGAATGGCAGTAGAAAAAACCGCATCATCTACTATGCGAACGCGGGGCAGCCCAGCAACACCTAGTAGCGGCACTCACCAACCCGGTCGAGAGACGGCTTTCGACGTCTGTCGCTGTCCGTCGACTTGCTAAGGCAGGCTTGAAGCCACCCGGCAGCACAAAGAAACTCAAAGTCCGCATCGGACGCCGACATCAATGTTCGCAGCCAAGCCAGTTCTACACGCGGAGACGCGCATCTAGCCTGGCGCGGCTAGTAGCAAGCAAGCGAAAACACGACGGTCGTCGCACGTAACTTACTCAATTCATCCCGGCACTCCGGCATCAAGTGATGCTATCATCTCCCCGGCACAATCTACCTGGTGCTTCTGCGATACACAAGGCGGCCAGCCAAGGCAACGCAAGCCACGATTCGGTACCGTGAGCCACCGACGGACGGCGGCGACAGCTGCCATGCTGCTGCCACTGCTGCTGCTGCCAGATTTGAAATATTGCCGTACCAATAACCACGACGGGCGAGGGATACGGGTGCCAGCATGCTTCAGCTGAGTCGGCATCCCTCTTGACATTGTGTTCGTAGAAAAGGACATTGACCTGAATCATTGCAATCGAACAGTGGCAATGGTTTTGTACATCCTCATTCTATCGTCAAATCTCTTCACAGTTCCAGCACTCTCCCTTGCTTCAGAATTTTCCGTTTCGATGTCTCTCGAGCCAGGGCAAACAACAATCGCGCCCACAGCACGATCCCGAGCAGGCCCAGAGGCTTCGCAAGCTTTTCCCCTGTCCCCTGCATGCCCAACCCTAAGACTTGCCTCTAGCGGGCAGCTCCCGCCCGTCGCCCCAACCGCGAGCTCCGATAGCTACCAAAAGCATTGAGGCTAGAGCGCATGCTACCTAGACCCAAACCGAGTAGCGCTGAAGTCCGTCATTCCGGAGACAGTTTCCGGCCTTGGAGAGTCGAAGGGCACCGTTGGAGGGAGGGGTAAGGAGGAATGTTGCTGGCCTGAGAATCCCGGACCGAACAAAGAACTCGCGCCGGCTTCGAGTACCTATCTCTCAGGCTGTCCTCTCCCCCCCACCCACCAGCACACACCACCACCAACTGACCGACCTCTGGTGCTATTCTCACCCACTTGATGGCCTAGATTCGGCCGCACGGCCCAAAGTCAGACCAGTCAACAGGTGTCACTGACTTCGGGGTGGGCGGATCGACGCAGGCTCTGACACTGGCGAGCGGTGCTAATGCAGGGCGCCTAGCCTTGGCGTGCGTAGCGAGCTGCTTGACGGGTACAGCGCATGCGACAGGGCCCGTCGTCCCCTGTAGAGCGGCGCTTGGCTGCGGGTGCCGTGGGTCTTCAAGACGCCACAAGGGAAAAGATGGGTGGGATAGTCGCTGGGGGGCTTCCTTTTTCGGTCGTTTTCAACCATCGGAGGATGGATGGAAAGGCCAGGAAAAACCTCAAACCCCCTCGAGCCGACATCCAAGGTCTCCGGTCCACCCACTTCGACCCGGTGACGACGCGCTGATAGGACGGCTGCAGGGCTTAACAGATGATGATATTCGCCGATGTTCATGCCATGATATCATGGCGACCGGGTTGGCTGAAACGCAACAACGGGGGATTGACCAAATGACATTGGATTCCCCAGAGTCGAACTCAGGATTCCTGTTTTCGGCAAATTTATGCCGCCGGAGAAGAAGGTCGGATGAGGTCGCACGCTGTCGAGATGAAGGGATCTGGATCAGGGCTGTGGCTGGTATGGATGAGAGACAGAGTACTACGGCGCACCAATCTCAACTCGGAAGCATGGAGATGAATGACCACGTCCACTTGGTCTCCTTCATCCGTCCGAAGTACGCAGAACACACGCACACATGTACGGAGAGGATACGGATACACAGCTCCAAGATACGCTCTGGCAGGTTGGGATTGGGCTGGCAGCACCACATGTTTACCCAGACAACGAACATCCTGGAAGATCTTTCCCGTCTTGACGACACCAACTTCTTTCTTGGTGTTCTGCACCAGACAAGCGCCAAAAAGAAACGGAGAAAAAAGTGTACCAGAGTGACACTGTTCTGGACTCTTGTCCGTCGACTAACAACGAGGAGGCTCCAGTCCAAGGCAAGGGATCAAGACATCTTTGTATCTGTCGAACTGTTCGCAGCCAATCCGTGCCTGAGGAAGTCATGGCCTCCTTTTCTTTTCCCAGGCCAGGGACGCATTCCCATCCCCGGAGCCACCAATCATGTCTGATTCTCCATGCTCAAGTTCTCAACGGGGAGAAATCACCATGTCTCGCGAGCTCACTGGATCTTTGGATGCCGCACCACATATCCACGTCTTCCACCAATCCCAACTTCCACGTCGACATGACCTCCGCCTCACCAACCCCCTCTCGGTAATCGATCGGGGCACACCCCGGCTCACCCCCTCTTCCGACGACCCCTCACCGCAGGTCGAGGTCCACATTCAGCACCACGGCACGGCAAGTCAAGACAGCCTAAAGAACAGGCCAAGGCCAGGAACACAGTGCAGTGCCGACCTCCTCGTCCCCGCCGCCGTGTGCCCAGCACCGCAGAAAATCGACCGATGCCATTCTCATATCCATAACCACGCAGAATCGCAGTCTGCTTCTGGAGCCCAAGCATTTCACTAAACAAGCCCGACAAGTCCAACATTCCACGCATTTCGTTCCTCACCAGCACTCATTGGTCATTTCGGCCGTGGTACCTGATCAGCAGAAGCCACACCGCATTCGAGACAGGCCCTCCAGCTTCTAGGAAATCTCCCCCAAGCGGTTGGCTGCGCAAGCCTTCTGTCTCAGCACAAGACAAGCCGGCCGGTGGTCGCAGTCAACTCAGCACTCTATCCTCTGTTTCTCAATCATCAATTATTCTGTTGTTTACGACGTCTTACAGGCCAGGCCCCTTGTTGTTGCCTCGTCGAATTACATATTTGGTTGCTCCGAGTACAGGATAAAGTAGTTGCAAAAATAGCAAAACAAGTCAGCCCTTCTGTTTTGCGGTGCTCGGTTCGTCCGAATCGCTCTGCTTGGGGGAAACTACAGCGCTCTCACCATGACTCGACGAGGGAAAGCTATGTTCTATCTCTGACATCACCAGGCTTAGGAAAATCGTTCACGGGCATTGCATCGGGACAGTGCAATTGAGCTGGTGACACTGACCCTGGTCCTGGTTGAGGTGTGTCTCCAGCCCAGCCCTGCTACCAGAGGCGACCTCCCCAACCACCCCTAGGCCACTAGGTTCACAGCAACAACCATCAGTCATCCGCCCACCCATCCACACTCGCAAATCAATATTCAACTGCTGCTATGTAGTGAAAGTGTGGATGAGGTGGCTGTGATGTTGTTGTTGTTGTTGTTGGTCTGATGTACAGAATATTCAGCCTGGAATGTACATGCAGATTTGCTTTGTTCCAAGTGCTGTTTGCAAGTAGTCGCATGCCTCTCTGCATATCAGATCACAACTAATACCAACCTTCACAAACACACATGGCTACATACACCACGTATACACACACTACTGCAAGTTCCTTAGCTCAAGGTATTTGCTCCATCAAATCCACATTCTGGATGTCAAAGACGCGCAATACCCACGGCTGAAGCTTATCTTTCTACCCTACCAGCCAACCCACCAGGCCTTACTCACAAGTCTACCCTCCCTCTCTTTGTATATGAACCACCGGACCCCAACCCTCCCTCCTCCTCGGTCTCCCTCTCTTCAGCTCACCTTCGCCATCCCTGCCCATACTCTCGCTCATAGGGTTGCCCTCCACCAAGGAAGCCTGCCACGTTTATTTCACTGAACCTATTCCAACACCTTATTTCTTCTACCGACCCTTCGACACTCACTCATACGCATCCCGCGTGGCAACGGCAAAGGAACAACAGACAGCCATCACCTCACACAACATTGTGCCAGAGGTACCACTCGAAAACAAAGCTCTCTTCCTTCCTCGGTTCTCTTCCGATCTCACGCTTCCCGTGCTTCCACGAGGCACCAACACAGGCAGTACCCGCCTTTTTGGTGTGATTCTTGAACGAGGGCATTGTTGGACAAAGCGGGTCAGGAGCTTTTGCTGGACTACCCTTCACCACTTCACCTTTGGGCAGAAATAAATCAACTTGGTTGTTGGAAATTCCTCTCACCACCACATCAACATCTCACCTGAGCTACATTGCTTTGCCAGCAAGCTACCTACCACAACAACCTTCACCGCCACCTTAGGAACCACAAGAACTTCGATCCAGGTAAGCTGATCTCTATCGCGACTCCTCTGCTGTCGGCGAGATGGGACTTCGATTTCTCTCATCGAGCGCGTATCGCGGTTTCGTTGGCTCTATTTTTGGCGATCTAAGAGCCTGCTCCATCGCTCATCCTCCCTCTTCCATCACCGGCAGGCGACGTCATGGGCTTGTGACATCAAATCATGATTCTACCCGCGCTTGCTGGCCCGGGTATTTTCATCGTTTGTTTTCTGGGTCCAGTCGGAGCTCCCGTCGAACTTTCTGTCCCTCCTGAGCTGTCTGGTGACTCGTGGAGTGGTTTGTACTTCATGATCTCGCTGGTCCTCCACGATCTTGCCTACATTTCCCGAGGATAGGCACATTATATGAAATCTCAGAATCCTCAACTTGAGCGAGAATGAATCAGTCTTGCTAATACATACATCTCTAGCCAACAAGATGCGCTCCTTCGCGATCATCCCCGCCGCTTTGGCTACCTTGGCCGTGGCCATGCCGCAGGCTGCTCTCAAGCCATCTGCGAACCCCCCCGCCGGTTGCTCCACAAGCTACACTGGCAACTTCGGTCTGACCGTTGTTGAGCTCGGAAAGCGAAGCCTCGATGTAAGCCTACCAGCCTCCGAAGAAAATGAGATTTCATACTGACAAACGCAACAGAAGCGTGGCTCCTGCACTGGAACTGGTTCTTTGGACCTCACCCTCAAGGACGGTGTCCTTACCGATTCGCAGGGCCGCACTGGCTCTATCGTCGCCAACTACCAGTTTCAGTTTGACGGTCCCGCTCAAGCTGGCGCCATCTACACTTCTGGCTTCTCCGTCTGCTCCAACGGCTCCCTTGCCCTTGGAGGCTCCACCACCTTCTACAGATGCCTTTCTGGTGACTTCTACAACTTGTACGACCGTCACTGGGCTGAGCAGTGTTCTCCCATTCACCTTTCGGCTCTCCCTTGCGGCGCCGATGCTCCCGTTCCCTCTGGACAGGTCGTTGGTACCACCATGGTGGTCACTACCCTCGTCACGGTCATTGGTGACGGTCAGCCTCAGGTTGTTCCGACCACGATCCCCGTCCCTCTCTGCCAGATTGGTGACGGACAGGTTCAGGGCCACACCACCCCCTGCGGCGAGTTGCCCCCTGTCACTGTGACGCCCTCTGCTCCCGCCAGCCAGCCTCCTTACACGCCCCCGGGAACCCCCGTTGCCCCTCCTGCAACCACCGCGCCGGTCGTCCCGCCCGTCCCCACCACGAAGGTGCCTGTCCCGGTCCCCTCGGTCCCGTCGACCCCTGTCAACAGCACGGCGGTCGTGACCACCCCGGGCACCACCGCTACCCCGCCTGCGACCACGACCACTCCGGCGGCTCCCCCCGTTGCTGCCGGCCAGAACCTGGCTCCGGCTTCGTTTGTCGCTCTCGTTGCCACTCTGATGGCAGTCGTTTGCCTCATCTAAGTCGCTTGATTCGGAATGTGTGGGTGGACTTGATTAGTCCACAAAGGCTTAATTGGCATTTTTGCTTCTCAATACCCTGCCAAGAAATCGGCATTTTAATTCCATGATGATGACCAAGAAACGGACTTTGTACAAGAGCAGAGGATGGATGGGTTTGCAGGTTTGCAAATAGGTAGCTAGATAGTTGGAAGGGACTGTGACAAGTCCCAGGGAAACCGACCACTAGAACAATACCAACACATCTTCAGCTGTGATACCTTAGTTTGACATGACTTGGTGATCAGTGACTGGAGAGTATGGCATCCGATGTCGCTGCGCACCTACCTTGAGGGGAGTGGCATTTCTCCTGCAGGGATGTGGCTGGAGATAAGATAAGAGCTGCACGGACCTCAGCGCAGACATCTGGGCCGAACCTCCAAATTTGTGGCATGCGCATCCTGCAGTGACGTCTCGGCCAACCTTCTTTCGCTCTGACAACACACGAAAACCCAGCCATCTCTTTCGACCACACCTCTCTCTACGTTACTCCTACCTGCACACGTACGCACACACACAGCCATGTCAGAATACTGGAAATCGACACCAAAGTACTGGTGCAAGCACTGCAGCATCTTTGTCCGCGACACGAAGCTCGAGCGACAGAACCACGAGGCGACGGGCAAGCACCAGGGCGCGCTCAAGCGGTTCCTGCGCGACCTCCACCGCGGCCATGAGCAGGAAGAGCGCGAAAAGGACAGGGCGAAGCGCGAGGTGGAGAGGTTGAAGGGGATATCGTCCGGCACACCATCATCATCATCATCATCATCCTTTTCGAGACCCGGCGGTTTGAGCAGCAGCGGCGCGCCGCCGTCGGCAGAGGCGCAGCGTAAACAGCAGATGGAACAGCTCGCCGAGATGGGCGTTTCGATACCGACGGAGTTTCGGGGCGATATGGCGATGGCGGGGGAGTGGACGGTCACTGCGACAAAGGTTGTCGACGACGAGGACGCGGCGAGGGAGAGGGAGAAGCCTGTTGAGGCCAAGGCTGTTGGGGTGAGGAAGCGGGAGCAGACGGAGGAGGAGAGGGAGGAGGAGGAGGCTGTGAGGGGTTTGTTCAAGAGGCCTAAGAAGTGGGGGAGCACGAGGACGATGCCGGCGGACGACGAGGATCTTGATGCGTTGCTGAGTGGGAATACGCTGATGAGGGCTGTGAAGAAGGAGGAGAAGGAGGAGAAGGCTGAGGTGGATGTCAAGACTGAAGTGAAGCAGGAGGGGGAAGGGGAGGATGCGGCGGGGGCCACGTCTGATGCGCCGGCTGTTAAGAGTGAGCCGGTGGAGGACGAGGCTGGGAAGGGCTTGGACGTGCCGGCCTTGGGAGAGGACGGCGTCAAGAAGGAGGACGAGGCTGCGGGATCCACGGAGGCCGCGGCGCCGGCGGTGGTATTCAAGAAGCGCAAGCCCAAGAACATGCGACAAAAGTGATGGAAGTTTTCCTTCTTTGGTGGGGAATGGATAATACAGCATGTCTAGGGTGCATAGCAAGGCGTTGGGCATTGGATTCATACACTACGTAGACACGGGGTTTCCAAAAAAGATCTACAGATACAACGGCCGCTCAGACTAATGGTCAGGGATGAATACTATCATGGGTGTTTGCATCATGGTCGACGGGAGTATCGGTCTGGCCGTCTGGCGTGTTGTTGCACAGTTGCATTGCATTGGTGATGGGCGAATGCTTCTGGAGCGGCAATACAGCGGCCCCGTTCTGCATCGGCCCGTCACCAAACGTGCCAATTACAGGGCCTGAATCTTCCCCCGGGGACGCAGGACGGGGGTTAGCGGGGTAACACATGACTCACTGGGGAAATGGAAGTCACTGCGCGCACCGGCACCGGGCAGAACGGGGACATTTCTCCTACCTACCTTAGGACTTTGGTACGTCCAGTCTTTTTTCTCGGCACGCGTGGACCTCCAACTCCCGTCACTCATTTCCATTGCGTGGTAACGTGGTTGGGGTCACACTCACTCACGTCCAATCTCTCTCATCCAAGGTGGACAGCAAAACCCAAAACAACACAACAACACTTCAGATTACACTGCACGCACACCTCACTTCCACCCGCGCACTCAAAACGACCTGGTACACCATGAGGCTTCGCAATGGAAAAGACGATGGTGTCCCCCCCAGCAGCTAGTCCCTCCACCATATCCCCAGCCAGCAGCTCTCACCTCGGCAAACGCCACGACCACAGCGAGGACGCCCAAGAATCCTCTTCCGGCGGCGGCGGTTACAATGGCGGACCCGGAGGAGACGGCACACCCGGCGGCCGCAAATCCTCATCATCCGGCGGCTCCCGCCCCAAAAGAGCCCAGGTCTCCCGCGCCTGCGCCCGCTGCAAAAACCTCCGCCGCGCATGCAACGAATACCGCCCCTGCAAGCGCTGCGTCGACGCCGGCCTGGGCGACCAGTGCCTCGGCCTGCCCGGCCCCGTCTCCCTCGCCTGGGTCTCGGACGGCTCCCAGGCCTTTGGGCACGTTCCCCGCGAGGCCGTCCAGCGCATGGCGGATCTCCTTCCGGCGCGCGTGATGGATTACTGCGTCGATCGGTTTTTCGCGCGGTTGCATCCTACCATCCCCATCTTGACACCCGAGTACGTTGCGCAGATGAAGGTCGTTGCCGGGCCGAGCGAGGTCGGGATGGAGGCGCATTGTCTCCTAACGGCTGTGTGCGCGCTAGTGCTGCTTCAGGTGGAGGAGCCGGAGAGTCTGTGGATCCAGGGTCTGATTCCGGAGAAGAATGCGCTGCATGGGCGGATGTTGTTCGAGGAGGCGCTCGCGGCGCATCGGAATTTCGCGAGAAGGTCGAACCCGACGTTTGAGCAGTGTCTGCTCACGTTTTTCCTGTACGCGTGCCACTCTGCGCTCTTTCACCACAGCCAGGCCTTCTTGTTTCTCAGGGAGGCGACGACGCTGTTTCTGCTGCTGCGGATGAATACACCCGAGGCGTCGGCGAGTCCGGCGGCGGCGGTGCTGGCGGATCGGTTATTTTGGGTTCTGCTGGTGTCGGAGCGGTCGCACGGGATCCGGTACCGGCGGCCCGTGACGCTGCAGATCACGGCCGAGTCGCCTACCCTGGGCGCCGACGACCCGAGCCTTTCGGGGTTCTGGAGTTTGGCGGCGCTGTTTAGTCCGCTGGACACGTCGTTTATCGCGCTGTTGAATATGGAAAAGGTGGCGACGCCGCCGTCGAACGCGGCGTTGACGTATATCGAGACGGCGGTGAACGCGGCGCTGCGGTCGACTTCGGATCTGAAGGATACGCAAAAGGCGAATTTGAGGGTGACGCAGCTGTGGTTGCGGATTATCCTCTGGCAGCTGCGTCTGCGGTTCGGGTACCTTGCTGAAGAGTCCGTTCACTCGCCGAGCATGACGTATCACTACCCTCTCGAGGTGGCCAAGGACCTCGTGCTCTCGACGCGGGATTTGCCCGTGGATAGTATCAAGGTGCACGGGGTCGGGTTGACGGAGAAGTTGTTCGACATCGCGAGCGCGGCGGTGGATGTGCTTGCGAGGGTGCCGATTACGAAGCCGTCGAGTCCGAGGGGCGGCCGGATGGGCGGGACGGGCAGCGGGCCGGAGGACGATTTGGAGTACATGCGGCGGCTTATTACGCGGTTGCCTGGGGGCAATTCGATTTACGATGACTTGTTGGAGAAGCATATCCAGCAGGCTGTGCCGAGTATGGCGATTGCGGGGACGTTGGCGCGTCGGCCGACGTGAGATACGTTTTGATACCATGGACATGCAGCATATAGCACTTGGGAAGAGAAAGGAATGCGGATTCAGAGATGGCGAGGTGAGGGTCGAGACTTGTTCATTATGCATGAGATTACGCTAGTAGTGTATCTAGTAGAACAATAACTTCAACTATAGGGGTATCCAACATCCTCAAGACCCGTCCCCTTAAACATCCTTTCCATCTTCTCTTCTTTTTCCCGTACATTAGAGACGTAAGTTAGTGCTCCTCGGCCAATTTCTTCTCACTGTTGAGCTCATGCGAGTACGGATCAATCTTCGTCTCCGCAAACTTTCTCGCCGAGACCTTGTGCTCAAACAACAGATCCAGCTCGGCGTACGTCCTCCCCTTTGGCTCCGGCACGCGGAAATACACCCACACGGACGAGAGCAGACACGTGCCGGCCCAAAACAGCGCGGTGCGCGCGCCCCAGTTCCACGCCGTCGACGAGAGCTGGTAATTCGTCATGACGTTGACAAAGATGTTGCTGGCGTTGTAGCCCGCGCGCGCGAGGACGATGGTCTTGTTCTTGAGTCGCGTGGAGGAGAGTTCCGAGACGAGGGAGTACGTTACGGGACCGACGGTGAAGTCGTAGACGAAGGTGAAGACGATGAGCATGGCGCCGATGGCCCAGACGGAGGCGTTGCTGTTGGAGAAGGAGAGGCAGCCGACGATCAGCAGCAGGCAGAATTGCGCGCAGAGGCCGGAAAAGTGGATCGTGCGCCGGCCGATGCGGGACATGAGGAACCAGGAGCCCGCGGTGCCGACCATGCCGAGGGCGTACTGGCCCATTGATAGGGAGAAAGAGTTCCCCGGGTCCATGCCGGCCTGCGTCAGAAAGTAGGCAAAGTAGCCCATGAGGTTCTGGCCGCCGAGGGTCTGGACGAGCCAGATGCCGACGACGATTTCGGTGCGGCGGAGGTCGACGCCCTTGAAGCAGTCTGCGTAGGTCACGCCCTCTTTTGCGCGCTTCTCGAGCTCGTTGGTGTGTTCTATCATGGCGATTGTCTCGTCTGGGTTGAAGTTTGGCTGGTTGCGGGAGGTGAGGCGGAGGAGGGCGCGTTTGGCGGCTGGTTTGTCGTTGTGGCGGACGTACCACCAGGGGGATCTGCTGTTGTTAGTAAAGGGACAGAGGAGAGACGGGGAGAGGAGCTTACTCTGGGGCGAAGAAGAGGCCGACGAGGATGGGGATGGGCCAGACCCATTGGACTCCAAAGGGGATTCTGTAGGCCCATTCGTCCTGGTGGTGGTAGGAGCCCTTGTTGACGGCTGCGGAGAAGAATTGTCCGATGACCTGGATTTCGTTAGTTTGCAATGTCTTGTAGTCTGCCTTCTGGTCCTTGTGAAGAGTGACCTACCCAGCACATGTTGATGAAGGTGGTGAGATACGGCCTAAGAACGACGGGAGCGACCTCGGAGGCGTATGCCGGCGTGACACTCTGGAAAGCACCCCATGGGATTCCTGCAAGACGTTAGCAGCGATACTCGAAGCCAGGTTGGAAGTCGGGGCATACCGCAGAGAACCTCCCCAAGCACCAAAATCTGCACATTCGGCGCGAAAAACAGCACAAAGATAAACGCAATCATCAACACCAAGAACCCCATAGTCGTAACCCGGTACCCGTACCGATCCGCCGTCCAGCCCGCGATAACGAGCCCGAAAATCTCGCCGGCGCGGGCGCCGTTGCTGAGGCCGGACTGCCAGGCGGCGGAGATGACGTACTTGTTCTGGGCCTCGACAAAGGTGCCGTACTTGCGCTGGAAGACGGCCGAGGAGTAGAGGTTGCTGAGGAGGGCGAGGTCGTAGCCCTCCATGATGAGGGTGGAGGAGAGGAGGACGGACCAGCCGATTGCTTTTGGGTAGGTGCGGATGGCTTCGAGGAGGGACATTTTGTGTTCTGCCGAGGCGGCTTGGGCGGCTTCCGCGGCGAGGTCTTCTGGGTGCGCGGCATTGTGGGCGTTGTGGTTCTTGGGGGCGTCGTCTGTGATTGAGGTGTGGTGGTGGATGCCCGTTTCCTTGTCCTCTTGGACGGGGGAGGGGACCTTTGGGTCGGCCATTTTGGATATATGTAAGGGGTATCAATATGTATGATGCTGGGTGTATTACGGATGAAAGATTGGATGAGATGTATGAGATGATGATGAGGAAGAGATGAGGGAGGCGGGTGAGAGTCGGGGATGCGCGAAAGTCGGACGCCTGAAGGAGGGAGATGAATTAAGTTGAGGAGGGCATTCGGGGCGTCTTATATCCCTGGAAGGATGGAAGAGCCCGATTCAAAGTGACAGCACCGGTTACGACAAGAAGGGTCGTAGTCAAAGTAACATTAGAAAGTGTTTGTAGCGCAACAGTGAGCAATGTACGCGGTAGTGAGAAAAAGGATGAGGTGAGAGGTTGGAAAATAAAATAAAAATCAGAGCTAAAAGTTGAGTGACAAGACGCCCTGCGCTTGAACCGTGCGCTCTACCGCAGTAATTAGTCGCGGTTTCCCTTGGGGAATAAGTTCGGGGAGAGGGGAGGGGGTCCTGGACAAGATGGGTTTGGCGTGATTACGTTGATTTTCGTGTGTGTGGTCATTGTGGTGAGGTGAAGGAAGGATTTTGCAGCATGTTGAAAGTATGTCAGTCTCGGTTGACATGGGGTGGTTTGTTGCTCTGCCAAGCCGTCTGATTTTGGTGATGAGCCATTCCCTCCCCGGTCCTCGGTATGGTGGAGGGTGGTCGGTGACTCTGTGGTGGTAAGGGGGAGGGGAAGATGTGTCGAATCATGTTGTTTTTCTCATCTCCATGGGCAATTTGTGGAGAAGCGGAGGATCAGTCTGTCAGTCTACCGGTACGGAGCAGGTATGAGAAATGGTTGTGGGGATGACATGTAGCGACGGGATTGGTCTCTTGAATCTCGTTTTGGAGGGTTTCCCAGCTGGTGCTCCGAGAATCTGGATACGACTATGGAGATGGAATCTCGAGCTATGGATTGATGGAGAAACAAAGGCTTCACTAAGCCTTCTGCAGGTCTGGTGATGGCGTTCTCGACTCGTGCCAAGGTGTAGCTGGAACCCATTCTGATCATTCTGGAGATGGTGGCACGAGGCGTCAACAGGAGACTCCGCCGACGACAGTTCTCGTGTACGGAGAGTCCGTACGGATCAAGGGGAAGAAGGAAAAAAGTAGGGATCGGAATGATGGGTTGACGCTATTCGCACCACGGCATCCATCTCACGAGGTCGAAACTAGATTGAGCGCCTCACCTTGTCCCGAGCCGAGCTCCATGCGCGTGTGCGGCGTAGCCACCGTCAGCCAGGCCCGGGGCGCGGTTTTTCCCCAGATTCGGGATGAGACCAACCCAGCCATCCATGATCCAGCCCAGTTCTCCAGACTTTTGTTGGATGGCCCTGAATCTCCATCACCACTTTTTCTTCCAGAGTCTTGACCGAGGCGAGGTCTGATTGGTGGGAAGGCATGACGTTTGTGGCTCCCGCGGGAGACAGGGGGGTCGGAGGAAGGTGCGGAGTCTAGCGGAGCATCTCCGGGTCCGGGTGGTCTCCACTATTTGGGGCCGACAGGGAAGGCGGAGTCTCCGCCCGTTGAAGATTTCTCTTTCTTCATCTTTTTTGCATCTTGTGTCACAGTACATCTGAAATGCACCATCATCCAATGAATTAAGATCTCCCTATGCGGCGGATGCGGAGTCTAAGCACTTTCTTTCAATGTTCCAAGCCGCCGGAGCGCTAACCAAAGGCTAATGATGAGCAGAAAAATCCCAAGGAAATTGAGGGCAAGACAATCCCGCATATCTCCGCTTCTTCAACAACTTTACTGAGTACTGCGTACGGAGTACATACGGATGCTTCGTATCCACCTTGGCACATCGAACGGGCGGAAGCAATGCGGAGTGAGGGGAAACCTGTCTCCTGCGACCACACGTTGCATACCTCACCGTACCTTACTGCGTATGGCTACTTGCTGCGAACCTGTGAGAGTGGGAGAGATACAGACGCAGCTACGAAGACTCAGCAATTAGATAACCAAGAAAAGGCGGGGAACAAGCTCATTCTCCCATCGGCATCTCCACAGACAAACGCACTCAGTCTCTTTGAAATTTCACCCCGTCACACCTCACGCGATGCATCCTCTTCTCCCCACGGCCCTTCTACGGACTGATTCCGCCGGCACGACATTCATCCCCCCCTCCCCCTTCCTCGATGGAAGCAGAAACCCTCGCCCGAAATGAACCACTCAACCCACACACGACCACGATAACCACAACTCTACTCCCGAGTCCATTTCCCTTCGCACGAATACCCGCTACGCATACTCCCCCCACGCCCATCGCTCTTCTCTCCGCTGCAGGTCATGTCGCCACGCCATTTTTCTGCCCCGGCTACTGATCGCCGCCGTCCCAAGTCCGATGCAGCCCATTCGCCGCGTGGTCAAAATGCGAATCGTTCCCGGCGCGTCCTGACCTCTGCCCATTGACCTCGGATCTCTCTCCTCCACTCGATCTTCACTCAACTCGACCTCTTTCTCTCCTGCTCGTCCCTCCTCCTTCTCCCGCCGCCTGTCTGTCTCTCTCTGCTACTCATCCTCTCCCACCTACCCGGTAGACGACAACCCGCCCTCATTACAGCGTGGCTTGATACGGTGATACCAACTCAACAACCCCTCCTTGACCATGGGATCCCTCGTCTGGGACGATGAGAATCGCTGGGTAGGCAAACAGCCCTGGTGGAAGGACGCAACCTTCTACCAAGTCTACCCCGCCAGCTTCAAGGACTCGGACGGCGACGGCTGGGGCGATCTCCCCGGCCTCATCGCCGAGGTCGACTACCTCCACGAGCTCGGCGTCGACGTCGTCTGGGTCTCCCCCATCTTCGAGAGCCCCCAAGCCGACATGGGCTACGACGTCTCCGACTACCAAAAGATCTACGTACCCTACGGCACCGTCGACGACGTCGATAACCTGCTGGACGAGTGCCACAAGCGCGGCATGAAGGTCATTCTCGACCTCGTCGTCAACCACACCTCTGTCGAGCACGCCTGGTTCAAGCAATCCCGCTCCTCCAAGGAAAACCCCAAACGCGACTGGTACATCTGGAAGCCCGCGCGCTACGACGCCAATGGCGTGCGGCACCCGCCGACGAATTGGCGCGGGTACTTCGCGGGCCCGACGTGGACCTGGGACGAGCACTCCCAGGAGTACTACCTCCACCTGTACGCCCCCGACCAGCCCGACCTGAACTGGGACAACGAGGCCTGCCGCGAGGCAATCTACGAGGACACGATGCGCTTCTGGCTCGAGCGCGGCGTCGACGGGTTTCGCATCGATACCGTGAACAAGTACTCCAAGCGCACAGACTACGTCGACGCCCCCGTCACCGACCCGACGTCGCCGCACCAGCCCGCGCCCGAGATGTGGTGCAATGGCCCCCGCATCCACGAGTACATCCGCGAGATGAACCGCAAGGCCCTGGCGCCGTACAACGCCGTCTCTGTCGGCGAGCTGTCTCTGACGCCGCACCCGTCGCAGGTGATCCCTTACGTCTCGGCCGCGGCCAAGGAGCTGGACATGGTGTTTGAGTTTTCCGTCATTCGGCTGGGTAACGGGAACGGGTTCGGCGCAAAGTATATTTACCAGCCGTTCCCGCTGTCGACGTTGAAAAAGTACACCGAGACGTGGCAGTCCTTCATCGAGGGTACGGACGCGTGGGCGACAGCGTTTTGCGAGAACCACGATAACGGGCGCGCGGTGTCGAGGTTTGGTGATGACTCTACGCCCGAGCTGTGGCTTGCTTCGGCCAAGACGATTGCGTTGTGGCAAGCGACCATGTCTGGGACGCTGTTCCTGTACCAGGGCCAGGAGATTGGCATGACGAATATGCCGGCCAGCTGGGGAATAGAAGAGTATAAGGATATTGAGAGCGGCAATTTCTACTCGGAGGCGTTGGAGTCTGGGGATCAAGAGCGGATCGAGAAGACGATGCATGGCTTGCGTATCTTGGCGAGGGATCACTCGCGGATACCGTTCCAGTGGGATGATAGCCCCAACGCTGGTTTCACGAGGGAGGGCGCGAAGCCGTGGATGAGGGTGCATGACGAGTACAAGTCCATCAATGCCGCGAAACAGCGCGGCGACCCAGACTCCATTCTGTCGTTCTACAAGAGGGTGCTGAAGCTGAGGAAGCAGCACCGCGATGTCTTCGTCTTTGGTTCACATCGGTTGATTGATCCGGAGAACGAGAGGACGTGGGTCATACTCAAGGAGAGTCCTGCGCCGGTGAATGGTAAGGAGGGTGGGGTGAAGAGGAAGGCGCTTGTGGTGATGAACTTTTCGAAAGAAGTTGGGGAGAGTGCTGGGGATGTTGCGGCGTTGCTTGGGTGTGAGGCGCCTGAGGTGCGGCTGTTGGTTGGCACGAGGGAGGGCGGGGAGTTGGTGAAGGGAGTTGCGCCGGTGTTGAAGGGGTGGGAGGCGAGGATTTATACCAATTTTTGAGGGTTAGATGATGGATACCGTGATGCTTGATAGAGGTTGGGTTCAGAAGCGAGGAGGGGCTCTAATGATATAGACATCCATGTTCACCATGCCATGTGACTCCATGCTGTGCGGCCTATATTTTTCTAAGTGAAATTGTTTTCGCAGTCATAGGTTACACCTTAGAAAGAGTCAGGGATATCAGTTATCTTACAATTTCTATCACTCATTAATGCCTTATTTGTCTCTTTCTTCATATGATCATACTGGGGGGCAGGGGGGGGGGGGCCAAACTGCAACATGTCTCATTATTCGAACTCTCAGAATATTAGGTATGGCCAACAGCCAATTTCCAAAAAACAAAATGGCAAGCAGCCTCCTCTTACTTGTAGGATGCAGCAGGGCTGAGATGACCCAACAGACGTCGAACCCAGCCGAAATATCCCTCTTCATCTGCAGCTCTGAATACGATAACCCCTTGCTCCGCCTCTCCATCGGGCAAACAAACCACCTTGATGTCATTTTCAAGCTGCTGCAGCTCTTTTGCAGTCACATGTTGGAAGCTTGCTTCCTCGTCTTCAGCCAGTTGTGGGCTTGCGCTTGTCATGGAGCATATACTCATAGCATCCGACCCACGAGTATAATCTTGGATGACGACATGTTTGTTTCTACCCCATCCTTTTGGCTCAATCTTTGACACCTGATAGGCGTAAATGATGTCTTCCTTCGTCTTGAAGCCGTGGGAAATATTCCGATCGGATGAGCCCGCCGCCTTTGTCCCGAGACCGAGGCACGGTAATAGTGCGGCTCCAAGTTCGCAAGATGCCTCCCCTGAAAGGCGATCGCTTTGTTTGAAAGTGAATCCGCTAGCAACCTTGATGCCGGTAATCATGTACACCGCCTTCGATTGGTAACTATTGAGCTTCATATATGCCTTGACTTTCGGGTCGTCGCATCGTTTCTGGATCTCTTCCTTAGAAGGATCTCTTCTGAGGTTTGTCGTCTGCAGGGAATCTATGGTGAACTCGCCGACCTTGATGTGCTTGCGGCTGCAGCCAATCTTCACAGTGATCTTTTCAAGGAAGACGGCCCAGATGCCAGCGTCGAACGAGTTGGCCATTTCGACAGACTCCGTGTAGGCTTCTAGGTTTGACGTGGTCGTATCATATTTGTAGTTGGGCTCCGCTTCGCTGGGCTTTGTGTGGTTTGTGTGGGTTAGCGACGATGTTTGCGATTGCTATGGCCTCTCTGGGACGGAAATCCCAGTTAGGTGGGAGCATGTAAGTTGGCACAGAGCCCATGATGAGCAGTACAACAGGTAGATTTTTGAGGCAAAGAAATTTCCGGTAGTAAGCTCGATGATTCGAAGCCTTTTATCTAAGAGACTTAAAGCAACTCCGCCGTACGTTTTTCGGTTTCGATTGGGACATAAAGTACGTGGAGAACGTGTTGTCTTATGTGGTCACGAATGAAATTCTTTCTCTGGACATCCGGCAAGATATTGGCAATCAGTGCGGCTGAAGTCCGATGGAATTCCATGAATCCATGTGTTACGCAGGAACCAATGATATGTTAACAGCGTGAGACTCGGAGCTGAGGAGCTCCGCCACCGCATACCTAGCATTCAAAGACCGTAGGTAAATGGCACAGGGTGTCGAAGCTAACACCACGAGGCTTGATAAGATTTACAGGCTGGAACTGCACCAGATGAAAACATATATTAGCGACACGCCGGGGCTTGTTTGGTGTCAAACCTACCTCCCGCATTCAGAAGATATAGGAAGAAAAGTTAAACAGGTAGATTGTAAAATCAACAAAGAGATCTATGTGGGAAGATACAACTGGACCTGAGATTGGATGCTTGACAAGATGTGAGTAGCTGAGAAATGGATGTGCCAAGATCAGGGATTACTGTTCACTGCCATCAACTGCCGAGGCGTGAGACAAGCTGTCTTATCTGAGTTCTTCAAGAGAGACATGCCTCGCTTAATTGACATGAGCGCCTGTGCCAGTGTCCCTACCATTGGACTCGACTTGGCTGCTGGTAAGATCTTACTAAGGTACCATTGCCGTAACATTACCACAGCGAACGCACTGGACTGGCCCCGTGCTTTAACATGAGCACTAGAAAGGGAGCATCTGTACATGCAAGTTTTCGTACTTTATTTCGGACCAAATAGAAAGAATAAATTCTCATCGAAATCCAGCGTGTAGTCTGTGCTAAATCTTCCACTCCCAGTCGGAGAGGTTGAAGGAGTTGTCGGGTGGAAAATGTTCATGATCAAACACAACCCGGTCATCTACTTTCCTCGTCGTAATCTTCCGAAGACTATAAGCGATAACTACATCGCCATACGAAACAGGTCGATCCAGCTGTGGCCGATGCCCGGGTCGGAACTTTCTGGCATTGCTTTCCAACTTCACAGAACTAGCTGGCTTGATAATGCTGGTCAAGGAAATCCGCGAGAGCATTCTGGGATCGTTCTCGGGGAGTATCTGTATGCGTTTTAGTACCTTCATGCCTAAAACACCGTCATCTTCACATCTCAAAACTGTGACTTGTCTGATAGCGCAAGCTGATTCAAGCCTGGTGGAAATGGAGCAACACAAAGCCCTGTGCCCATACATCGAGTACGATCGTACCTACATTCCTCGGCGAAGCTGAGTGAGAGAAGAAGTTCATAAAAGGGTGAAAACATGAAAAAAAAGAAGAAAATAGAAGTGAAAACGAACAAGAAGGAGAAAGATTTCAGACGTATGATGGAAATTTTCGGAGACTTACAATATCTGTTGCATCGCATCCACAAAATGCACAATACAATCCATCCTGCAGCCAGACACGGTGACATATCTGGCAGAATGTATACTTGTCATCTCCTAGGTCATTCGCAGGCTGGAATTGGGGTGCAATAGTATCCTTCGACGATCTCATGCCTCCGATATCAAAGCCGTCTGCTTTGCGTGTAAGTGTTAAGCTCTTAGCTACCTTAAGCCCCGCAACGATGAAGATCGGCTTCTTCAGCTCTTTGTCAAATCCGTAAATGGCCTGCGAGCGACCCTGATCATTGGACCAGTTCACAAAATACTCGATAAACCTCCTTGGATCGAAATTAAGTGTCTGAATAGACTCTGCTGTAAGCAAGAACTCATCATAGTTCACCGACTCCGAGGTAACCAGTAAATTCTGTAAGACTCGAGTATGATCTTGGATCAATGGTTGCTTCACCACACCCAAGGAATGTTGAAAGTCGGGGGTCTCTGAAGCCATAGTTCGTTTTATGCGTGTTCCCAACTGACCGATATTTTTTGAAGGATCGAGTGGGTGTAAGATAATGTCTCCCAGAGCAATGGCATGACTTGGTCGAATCCAAGTGTCCTCGAAAAAATATGACGATCTTTGAAAGTATTGGGTTTCGGATTGAGGGAAGCGATTATAACAAGATTGAAGAGATTGGTGGACGAGTGCAAATGCGTTTTCAAGTCCTTCATCGCCATCTTTGAACAGCTGGCAGGGTTCGACAAACCTTAGTCGCTCTCGCCTTTCGTCCTGACCCCTGGTCATGATGTCAAAAAGGGAAAGGATCCAATCTCTTGTTCCCATGATGGTATGCAAGTGACCGAGAGATTCTTTGCGCTGTGCCATGAACTGAAGAGTACAGGCGGCAATAGCGGCCATGATAGTTGTGGCAACAGAACAGCCCCACAAGGTTGGTTGGCCGGGGCCGAATCTCACTTGGCCGAGCGTGCCGTAGATGTTTCGAAGCAGGCCCTTCCCGTGCCTTTGTGGGTTACACGCTGGTATGAAAGTGCCATCGTGCAGAGCACCATGAACTGAAATAACCGAGTTGTATCTCGACGGGAGAAGTTCATGTACGGTGTTCTTGTTGTTGTTGGCTGCCGCGAAAAACAAGACTTTGTCTTGTTTCAATCTCTCGGCTTCATATATCGCTGACTCGACTGATTCCCCAGGTCCCTCAAAACCAAATGCCATAACGAAGATATCCACGGACCAGTTTTTCACTGCGTACCTGATTGCCTAGCCGGTGTCAGTCATTAATGCTTCAGAGAGCAAGATGAAGGTCACATACTGCTGCAGTATCGATACGCGCTTTAGGGAGGTCCTGAGAGTACTTGGCAACCCGAACTATGAAGATCGAGGCTTCAGGCAAAAGTCTGAAAAGCAGAGCCGCAAGTAATGTTCCGCGTTGGCCAGGGTCCTCATCCACCATGTAAGCTGATTCCATCAGGCTGTCGGACCAACCCAGTAACCGATGTAGACCTTCGCTGCCTTGAATGACAGAATTATTGAAGTTGCAGCCCGTGTCTAGAATCGCCACCTTCACCCTGCTGTGGTCCTCTGCCGGTCCCAATTGCCTGTTGGCCACCTTGAATTGTTGTAACCAATCTTCTATCGGATTCGGAATCTCCTCGATGGATGAGTACTCTTCTTCCCGAAGGAAATATACCATTTCTTCCAGATTCTGTCCAATGAAGTGAGCGTGTTCTTCCAATTTGTCACGATCTTCGACAAGCACCCAGCTTAGGATATGCTCGAGTTTCGATAGTGAAGATTCCCAACGATCGCGAACCTCAGCACTCAGTGAGTGATATTTGCCAGGTAACTGATCAAGCATAACCATTATGACCACAACCATCTTCTCAGCATCCCTCCAGTGTTCCCTGCTAGCTGCTGTCGAATGCATCTAACTCCCATTCTGTCCTTCGCGTGATTTGACATCTATTACCAATGCCTCTAATTTTTTTAGTTGTAACTGTAGGTACTTTCGATACTCCGGATCGGATAACTTATTCGGCGTGTTGGGTGATTCAGAACCCGACGTTTCAGAAGCCACAGACTCTGCCTGTCTCTCATCCATTTGCGGAACGACATCAGAGTTAACACTAGTATTCTCTCCGTCATCGATCGTCGGCCACGGAAGTGATAGAAGTGCAAACTCGTGCAGGTGTTGGAGAAAATGCTCGCTGATTTGGTCCTTGGGCTGGTTGTCATCAACGAAGCCGCATATGGGACACGGCATCAACGGCAACCTTGTGGTTTTGCTCATCTCTGCAAGCATTGGCAATTGAGATGACAGCAATGCGCTTGAATGAGCCTCGCTCATGTGGGCTTCCCATTTCGAGACACTACCAAAGATGCATTCAGAGTATGGCAGCAATGGTACACAGAACTCGCAAATCCATGAAGGTTCCCCATGTCTTTGGCGAATATGTTCGATAAGATCGCTGCTTGTAACGAACATTTCGTCCCAAGAGGTACAGTCCTCTATCGTGCAGGTGTACGGAAGAACATCGTGGGCTATATGGTGGCTTTGTATTAAAGTCAGCATGAGAAGAGTCCAAGGTAGACTGTCCAAGACAAACCTCCATTTAGATTTCCACTTTGGCTCTGTCTTGGCATAGTCAGACGAGAGTAAATCTGCACAATATGGGCAGCTGAACATCTGCCCTGCTGCAACTTTTGGACAACGAGGATACTCCTGATTGATACCTGTGTGTGTTGCCCTTGTTGTTGTCGAGACGGCTTTGCGAGTTACAACCTTCTCTACATCAAAGTCTGAGCCCAGCTTAGTTGCTGTCGGACCGGCTGACTCTGTTTTGGCAGACTTCACTCTATCAACCAATTCGCTGCCGAGAGTCAGAGCATTGTCGGGTTCTAGGCTCGACTTTTTGCTGGTGGAAACAACAGTGTGACTTTGATGGACAGTTCCTTTGTCAAGTTTCTGCTTGTCCATTCCAAGGTCTTCTTGTGGTTTCTTCACCACTGACGCTGGTGTTGTCCGTGTATTGTTTCGGTTCGCGTGTTGCATTCGGTGACGTCGTAAAATGTTGGCCTGGACTAGGCGTTGTTGTATCGGACTGATGGTATTACCAGGGCTTTGCGATGCTTCTGACCTAAGGGATTCCATCCATTCCATCCATTCAGTAGATGTGCACAACTTGGGTTGGCTCTGTCGGCCGTGGGCAATCTCCAGAAGGGCTATCTGATATGTTCGGAAATCTTCGAAATCTTTCTCGTTGAGTTGTGCATCAATCTTTGCATATCGATACTTGGTTCCCGACTTTCGAATCGCTGTGGATAATCTTGCAAGTTTCTCCAAAATCTTGTGAATGTATGTTTTTTGTTCTTCATAGAGAGTCTGCAAGCTGTCCTCTTCAGCCGAATCACTATCAGTAGCCGATTCTGACATCGATGATTCCGATCTGCTTGCTCCTCTAACAGTTGGTCCTTCTTGTCGGCATACTGGAAGTTCTTGAGTCTCAGTCTCGACGAAACCCAAAGAGCCTAGGCCAAGATTCAGCATTGGAATTATGACTCTGAACAGAAGACCAACCGATTTCTAGTATTCTCTCTAGAGCCCCCAGCAAACCATCGAGGTGATTGCATATGACTCTACTCACATCCTTCCTATCCTTTACACGGTGATCTAGGGACGATTTGCCGCTGCTCTTAGCTTTGATGCTAGCTGCCCAGATATTGAAGTTGGCCTGGCAGTCTTCTACCCACTCTGGAGCAGAAGCAGATCCCAAACTGAGGACTAGTCGGTCCAAAGCAGCCTCGCAGCTCAAACTGCGCTGAAGAATGGGACGGGCTTCCATGTCGAATAGTTACCGTTTGTGAGTGATCACTAAGGTAAATAGGCTCTAGTGCGGGGTGGTCCTTCCTCAATTTCGCCTTTGTACGAATGGTGTATACCCTGATATTGTCATTTCGGGCCGATCGGAAGGAACGTCTTGAGGCGAATTCAGCGGTCTTTCATGGAATCGGCGACGAGGAAAATGTGCTCCAAGAAGATTGGAAAAGCAGGAATTGGTCACGAATAGTGAGCACACAGAAAGCGGGGTTTGAACCAGGTTTGTGTCTTATGCAAGCTGACTTCCTGTCTGTTGGCCGACGGTCCACATCCCCTTGTACACCAACGAGTAAAACCTCGGTATGTTTCGTTATTTCTTATCTCGATTAAAAAATGGCCTGCAAGATTGTATTACGCAGCATTATCCACAGATCAAAAGCTGACTTTCTTTACTCTGGACAAATCCGGTGCGAACGCATTGTACAAACTGCAGTTGACAAACTTGACATCGAACATGTGCATATCAATCAAGTTTCTTACGACTAGTTAGACTACAAAGATCTCACTACCGTTGCCAGGTGCAATTATCCGTTCGTCCGCGATTCCTTCGTTGTGCAGAATCTCTTTCATTTCGGCGAGACGATCCCCTGAATCCAAGCTGTAAGTTGCACCTTTCGAATGGGTCTCGTAGTCCCATGTTCTATCTAAGAGACCCTTGCGTATCCTGGCGAGCCGTACTGCCCAGACGAAGTCTGACACTGTCTCTCCTGACATTGAAAGTTTATCTTCTGTTGAGTTCTCTATCCCGACACCAGCATCAGCCAGCCCGTAGAGGCCACTATTCGAAAATCAGTCCCCATTCAAAGCAGACGATCAGTACTCCTTATGTGTATACTGATGATTCAAATCTTTTGAAAGAAAACTAGGAGGCGTTGTTTGTCTTACGTTCCGAGGCCTCCGTGGAGCCCAATTTTCCGTTCCTTCGACCGGAGAACTCGCGCACCGCGAGCGATTGCAATGCCTGTGATCATATAAAAAGACCATCTTCCCATTTTCTTGTGTTCCTGTATGTATCTCGACACCTCATCAGTAGTGATGCTGTCCTCTATATATGACGGCGTTGCTTGGATTGTGTAGGTATCGAGCACCTTGAACTCGCCATGGTTGGTGACAGACTTTTGGAATGCTATGCCAGCGCTGGCAGTTGCAGTGATTCCAGCAGCCGCCAAGATAGGTGCACCTATATGTCCGTAGTGGTTGATTGTTGGTCCTGAACTCTGCTCCCAGGACATATTCTCGGACTTTGTGTGGTAAATTGGCATATCTGCTGGGATCTCCGATGGTCCTGAAATGTTGATGATTTTGTCTAGGTGCTCTAAATCAGGTATGATGTGGCCGCAGCATACCGGTCCCTTGATCTGTCCGGTCCCGTCTTCCAATCCAGTGGGCGGCGGATAGTGCGTTTGTCGCAGTACGAACCAACACTTCTTGCTCATTATGGCGAAAGGAACAATAAAGTAATAGACATGAATCCGACGACAATTCGACAATCAACGCTCACCGAGGTACTTCCCCGACTGCCAGCTCGTTCGTGTAGTGTCTTGTTAAAAGATGCTTTGGTCGAAAGGCTTTGACCTAAGAGTTTTGCCTCTCAGACTGAGGGGAAACAATGAGGCAATGCCCTCCGAAGACCAATCAATCACTGAAATGTTCAGTATTTTTAGATGGTGAGACTTGGTTGGCTGACCGTTTCCTAGGCATCAGTGGATATCATAACTCGTGCATTACCCCTCAGTGTTATCGTAATCCTGGTTCAGCTTGCTTATGCTGCCAAGACCACTGCGCAGCCTCGTTTTGATCCAGCTACCTACTCCTAAGCGCCTCGTGATCTTCAACTCGAGTAGATTCACGGGGCCGTCTTTTTGCGACTGGGTGCTTCAGGAAAGTATTCGAGATACCCCATCTCGGCCATGAAGGAAGATATGCTACCCTTCGCGCTCAGGGCGACTGACATGTTTCGCAAAGTTGTGGAGGGGCTGCTGCAAGGCAAGCGGAATATGGAGTATTTCAACCTTCTCGACTCAGCTTTGACGAATGTCGTGCAATGGCTGAAAGAATTGCCACGTGTCTTCGACATAAAGACATCGCCGAAAGAAGTCTTCCGTCTATTGGTCATTCTCGAGAACCTGATCCAGGTAAGCGCAATAACTGATTCAGAGGTTTGGCAAGTTGTCTCATGCCATTCCAGTGGCCAAGGAAACCCAACAGGCATTTCAAATCTCTTGATCCTATTGCATACGAGCAGGGATGGTTTCCTGGACTGTCAGAGTTCATCAAACACCCCGAAACGGGGAAAGCATTGTTGAGAGTGTTTGCAACAAGCACCAAAGCTTCAAAGGCCCGCCAGAAGCTGATAGAGTCGCTCGAGAAATTCACCAGGACAGAGCCCTCCGCAGTTGAACAACCGAAGCTAGCGGAAGTCGTGCAGACAAGACACCAGACGTTAGCCCAAGACAACTATCAGTATCACCTTGCTGAGTTGCACAGAGTGCTTGCGATGAATTGCATTTGTCAACGTGGAGTCGACGAGATGGCCATTAGGGTGAATTTGAGGTTGAGAGGGTTCGAAAGAGATGAAAAGACACCCGAGGATGTCACCTTTGGCGTTTTCTTTCTCGACCACCCCCACGAACACCACGGCAGCGAAGTATGCCATTGGCAAGACACAAAGATCTGTATTTCCAAGAAGAGGTGATTTCGAACCACTTTTGGCTACAGCCATTGGACTATGCTGACATTATTTGACCTCAGGAGGATCACCTTCGCAGGTTTTCCAGAGCAGCTATCACACTCAAACTGTCAGATACTTTCTAAAAAGGAGTTCTGCGATATAATATCGCATCGCCAGCAAGCTCAACTACGCCTCGTTGCGCAAAGCGATGACTTGGCCGTCAGAGAATACGCTCCGTTATCACGATTCTTCTGCCCATATACTTCAAGCTTTAAACTTTCTGAAATACTTGACGATAAACTAAAACGAAAGCAAAGACTGACGATAGCCTATCTTGTGGCCAATGCCGTATGGCAGTTTTACGATTCAACTTGGATGCGAAAGGAATGGAATAAAGACACCATCCATTTCATGCTTGAACGTCGTGGCAACACGGCCAAAGCAATATACGTCAACGAGCCGTTCCTTTCAACCCGTTTCGATGCAGCCGAGCCTCCCTCCGAGGACAGGATGAAATTTCGATATCATCCCCTGCCTAAGATTCTAGCGCTTGGCATCATGATGTTGGAGATCGAGCTAGGTCTAAATATTGAAGATTACTATCAAGATCGACCCGAGTTTTATGATGCTCAAGGTACTCTAACCGTCAATGCGAGTCACATCATCGCAATGGAGATTTTCAAGACGTCAGACCTGTGGGAGGAGAGGGACACGTTCAAACCTTTCAAGGAATTGATTGGGGCTTGCTTGACTGCCGATCCGTTTAGAAGTCTAGCGGAGCATCCAGGACAACTTCGCGATGCAATCTACAAGCATGTTGTTGCGCCTTTGAAGGGATTCTATGAGATAGCGTGGGGGGACTTTGAAGAGTCAGACGTTGGACCTATCCGCGTCCAGCCGGAAGGCGCAGAGATGCCCCTGATTGCCGGGTTCCAACGTCTTGCGACTGGTGCAAACGACCGGAGCCGGAGTGCGACGATGCCGCTACCGAAAGGATCAGTCAGTGAAGTCAGGTTCGTCTGCTCTCGTCGAAATTTTATTTCTATCTTGAAGTTTTGAATGGCTAAGCCTGGTCGCAGTTCCGCTCCTACATCCGATCGGTGGTTTGCCCAGCTTGAGAACCTGAAGACCATCTTACGTCTTCCTCGAAGCAAAAGCGATGCTTCATACGCGCCTACGAAGATAGCCATCTTAGACACAGGCATTGACAAGTCACATTCCTCGTCTGTCGTGGAGTACCGGGACTTCTTGGACCCCAAGGATGTCCATCGTTGCGACAGTACTGGGCACGGAACCAGTGCCTTCAAGTTGCTACAGAAGGTGTACCCGGAAGCCCAAATATTTGTTGGTCGTGTGTGGGAGAGTAACCAAGCAAATCATGACACTGAAAATATCATGACCAAGGTACACCAAGTTCCTGCTTCAGATGCGGCAGCCTCTATCGAATCGTTGCCTAACATGAGCCCAGGCAATTCGCTACGCTAGAGAGACCTGGAAAGTCGACATCATCATCATGCCATCGGGCTTCGAATCCGAAGACGAAGACATGCTCAGAGCAATCGAAGAAGCAAACGCAGCCCGCGTGCTGCTCTTCGCCGCCGCGTCCAACCATGGGAATTTGACAAACATTGCATTCCCAGCGCGCCTCTACCGAGCAGAAAAAACATTCTGCATGTTCTCCACCGACGCCAATGCCAGGAGTCTGCCAGCCTTCAATCCCTCCCCCTTACCAGGAGCTCGCAATAGCTTCGCGATCCTAGGAGAAGGCATCACACTTGGTAGTGATCCTCCCCTGTCAGGGACTTCATTCTCAACCGTGATTGGGGCGGCGCTCGCTGGGCGCATTATTGATTTTTCGCGGCATCATGACACCCGGAGCCAGATTCGCAGGTCGGAACACCTGAAGCGGGTGGAGGGCATGGCGTCTGTGTTTGCCAAGATGGCGAGGATGGATAATGGGTACCGGTGCATCGCTCCCTGGAGGCTGTTGCCCCAGATGGATTACGAAGACTTGTTGGACGTTTCCAACCGCTCGGAGATCCGCCGGCGGCTCTGTGAGGTCATTTCCGGAGCGTTGGAGGAGGTCTATGGATGATTAAGCGAAGCATGGATTCGGGGCAGGCATCCACTAGGTATCACGACACCAGTGTCCCAGTACTCCAGACGTTTGTTGAACATAAAAAAGTTGATAGAGCATTTTGGGAATCATCCAGGAAGTCTAACCCTGGCAATCTATAAACCTATCTACAGACTTTGTAGGAAATGGGGGTGTCTCATCCACTCATCACTCATTAACAGCCCCTAAGGGGGCAACACAATAGTTCCTGCTTCAATACCCTCCTCCAATGCTTACTCGCGCCATCACACATTTAGTGAAGGGCCTGGGCAAGCTTCTGGCACAACTGGCGGGTCTCGGGCTCCAACTGCTCCTCAGGCGGGCTGAGGACAGCCTGCAGAACGGGCAGGATCTTGGGAGTGAGGCTGGCGACAGTGGGGTTCTGGGCATCGTACAGGTTGTAGAGGGCCTGGTAGATGGGGGCGTTCTCCTCGTAATCCTCCTGGAGGGGAAGAGCATCGACGAGGGCGGGCAGGACACGAGCGACGAACTCGGGGTTGGGGTTGCGGATGATCATGCGGGAGATGCAGCCGGAGACGTTGTCGACCATGCGAGACTCCTTGATCTGAAGGAGGGGCTCGAGCTTCTCCAGGACGGTGGGGTACTGGGAGATGGTCTTGTCGGTGGCCTGGGAGTTGAAGATGAGCTGGCCCATGGCGTAGGCGGCGTTGGACTTGGCAAGGGAGTCGGGGTCGGTCAGGCGGTGGGTCAGGACAGGCAGGAGAGAGTCGGTGAACTCGGTGACGGCCTGGCCCATGTACTTGACAGCCTCAGCAATGACGCCAACGGCAGTGGAACGCTCGAGAGACTCCTGGGAGCTGGCGAACTTGAGGATGGGCTGTTGGTAGACCCTCCACATCTCGGAGAAGTCACTGCCGAGGACAGTAGCGAGGCCGAGAATGACGTCGAGAGCGGTGTCAATGACGAGCCAGTCGAACTCGGAAGAGCCCTCGGCAGCCTCTTCCTCCTCCTCCTCACCGAGATCCATCTGGCAGGGGTGAGAGCGAGTGATGAGGCAACCAAGGATAGTCAAGCTGCTCTTGAGCAGCTCGTTGTGTGTAAGGATGGCGGGACCGCACGACTTGAGGGTGGCGGCGATGTTGCGGTTGATCTCAGTGATAACAGAACTATTGGAACGTCAGCAAAATGCCCGCTTAAATGCTAGTCATGGAAATGATAAAGATGCCCAATGAATCAGACGTGATCAATCGTGTTCTCAGCAACCGCACTTTGTGCGTCTGAGTGAGCTGGGTATAACGAGAGTTACTCATCCTTTAGGGCTGGGGAATGGGAAGTAAAGTAGAAGTGGGGTGCATACCGTTCGCTGTCCTCCTCCCAGACACTGAGAGTGGCCTCAACAACAGACTGGCCGAGGTCGTTGATGACCTGGCCGGGGTTCTGCTTGGGGGGGTAGCCAGCCTCCCACTTGGCGCCGGTCGACTCCTCGTAGAGTTGCCAGACGCGGGCGTAGGCGCGCCAGAGGGTAGAGATAGCAGCCTTGCGAGCTCCCTCGTAGGGGTGCTGAGCCAGGGGAGAAACCTTGCCCATGGCATCGGCAAGGTACTTCTCGATGGCAGCGCCGTCGCAGGAGTGGGTGATGACATCGCCAAGAACCTCGAGTGCGATCTCTTGCTCAAGAGCGACGGCGGTGACACCGGCAAAGTCCTCAAGATCCTCCCAGTCGGCATCCTCGTCCATGTCCTCCTCATCGTCATCAGCAGCAGCCTTCAGGTTGAGCTTCTTGCCGTTGGAGATCAGCAGACCCTCGGGGATATCCTCCTCGGTAAGGCCAGGGATAGAGAGAGACTCCTCCTCGAGCTCAAGGCAGTCAAAGAGACCCTTGAAGACACCGGGAAGGAAGTGAGAAAAGTCGTTGCCGTAGACCTTGGACAAAGAAGCCCAAAGGATGAAGCTAGTCTCCTTGAGGCGAGCGTTGTCGAGGCTGAGAGCCTCCTCGCTGGCCTTCATGAGGTCCATGACGTAGGGCTGGAACTCTTGGGCGCCAACAGCGTCGGCAATGCGGCCCATGGAGTCGCAGACGGCTGAGCGGAGGTTCAGAGCCTCCTCACCGTCCTTAATGGCAACGTACTGGCCAAGTGCGCCCATGACCTCAGCGAAGTAGGGCTTGAACTCCTCGCGACCAAGAGCGGCAGCAATGGCGCCAATGGCGCCGGCAGCACCACCCTTGACGGAGAAATCCTCATGGTGGAGAAGCTTGCCCATGGGGACAATGAGCTTGGGGCCAAACTCCTTGATGAGGTCGTCCTCAAGACCCTCACCAATGAGAGAGTCAAGCGCACCGCAGACAGCACGGATAACTCTGACGCTCTGGCTGTCGGTAGAGCCAACGACGGCCTCGAGGTTGGTGAGCAGGGCACCGATGAGCTCGCGGTGCTTGGGGGCGAGCTCATCAGCCATCTCGTCGGCGAGGTGGATGAGACCGACGAGAGCAGCGTGTCGGACGGAGACGTCCTGGTCGTTCAGCAGAGTGAGAACGATGGGCAGGAGAGGCTGGATCTGGGTGGCGACGAAGTCGGGGGCACCCTCGGAAGCGGTGCCGAGAGAGAGCATGGCGGACTTGCGGTGGCCGGGGTTGGGGTTCTGGGCGAACTGGGGGAACTGCTCGAGCAGAGGCACAATGACCTGGCGAGGGGGCAAGTCGTTGGCCAGCTGATCGATGAGAGCCAGGGCAGTTCTGGCCGGGGAGTTCTCGTCGTCATCATCGTCAGTCTCGATCTCGGTGACAATCTGCATGGACTTGATCATGAGAAGGGCACCCATGTCCTTCATGCCCTGGATCTTCATGCGGCGGTAGCGAGCGCACTGGCTGAGGAAAGCCAGAGATTGCGAGCGAGCCTCCTCTTCGACCTCGTTGTTGATAGCGAGCTCGAGCATGAAGTGGATGAGGTCCTTGAGGTGGGGACCCAAGAAAGAGGAGTCGAAAGCCAGGAAAGACTGGAAGACCTCGAAGACGTCACGGTAGTAGTCGTCGTTGCCCTCAGAGATAGCGTTCTTGAGGATCTCAACGATGGGCTGAACGAGCTGCTGGACGAGCTGAACGCTCTGGGTATCCTCCTCGGGGTCGATGATCATCAGAAGAGCGCCGATAGATCTGACAGAGTTCAGGCGGACATCAGCGCTCGCAGGGTCGACGATGGTCTTCTGGACCAGGCTCAGAAGCTGCTGGGCCTGCTCGGTGAAGTGGGTGGGGTCGTTGTCGAGCAGAGCGAAGAGGATGTAGGAGCCAACCTCGCGGTGGGCAACGTTGTCGGCAACGTTGAGAGACAACAGGCCGCGGACGAAGTCCTGACCGTCGCCATCCTCAAGGTCGAGACCAATAGCTCCAGCGAGAAGACGCGACTTGGAGTGACGGGAGGGAGCAGACTGATCGTTCAGAATGCTGTCCAAAATGTGCTTCTTGGCAGCCTCGCGCTGGGAGGCGTCAATCTTGGTCCAGTGTCTGGGGGTCAGGCGCAGAGCCTGGACGGAGGCCAGCTGTCGGATGGCGGCGTCATCGTGGGAGACGGTAATCTCGATGAGAAGAAGAAGAGACTCGGGCTTGGAGTAGTAGTTCTTCTGGAGCTCAGCCGTGACGGCCTTGACCTTCTCAGTGTCGGCTGGAGAGAGCAATGAACATATTAGCAAAACAGATTGCGCAAGAATTTAAGTGTGATGAACCGGATGAAAAAGCAAAATTTATAGGCGAAAAAAGCACGAGGCAAAATAAGCGAGGGCGACGAAATGAGGCAGACGGGCTCGACCAGGTTTGCGGCCGGGGTGGCACAGGGCGATGGGGAATGGGAAGGGGGAGTTGAGTAAGGTAACTTACGAATCTGGCTCGCTTGGAGCAGCTGGACCAAGTTTCCTTTATCCATCTTGAGGTTCTGTTGGAGTCTCGTCGTCCTCACAACTATTCGCAAAAGAAGGAAAAGACGAGGAGGGGAAGAAGAAGGAAAAAGAGAGGAGGAGGTGAGAAGGGAAAAGGAAGGGGAAGTAAAGGCCCGGCGCAACTGAATTTTTATCCAAGCACAGAAGGACCAGGACGGGGTGTGTCGGCCAGTTGTTTTGTTGATGCCCGAACCACCTATGACACGCCGTTAACGACGAAAAAAATAAAATAAAAATAATGAGAAAATAATAAAACCACCAGCCAAATGACAGCTTTGGAGGCAACCTTGGACTTGCACCACACAAAATTTTAGGGGACCAGCGTGAAAATTTCGAGATGAGCCCCGCCACCACTGATAAGATAAGGAGGGGTAGAAGGTGTCGAAGCCTGAAGGAACCTGGAAGGAAAGAAAAAAAATTGATGCAAGGCGGGGTCAAGTCCAGGTACCCCTCCTCGACTTTTTCCTACGCGCCTGCAGAAAATGCGTAACGGCAGCATGCCTCTCGGTACGTATCCGTTCTGCCCCTCCATTCACGTGCTCTTTGACTCTCGAATCTTCACTCGCATTGTTCACCTCCATCATCTATGTCGGCAGCCATAATACTGCGGTATGTCTTCAGATTGCCTGGCTAATCTGCCTTGGGTAATATAATGAGCTTGCTAAACCATATTAGGCAATAAGACAGGCGCGGCTCGTCCAGATCACCGTCCTTGGTGCTTGCTCACCTTCTTGCTAGGAAAGGTATTCAACTGCAGTCAACCAACATTGCGACTACTTGAATGTGTATTTGCCCCGCTGGAAGTATTCTTCTGGTTCTGAAGCCCCAAATAGGGTGTAACTGAGTCCTGGTGTCTTGCTGTTGTCAAGTCTATGGACCTATGAGAGGATTGCATCTTCATGCCTTCTCAGGTACAGCATGGCTTCCGCCAAGCGCAGCTTCACGTACCCCATACTAAGGTAAATAAGCAGAGGCCTCCATTTGAGATTAGTGTTACGAGAAGAATTTTCAACAAGGTGCCGCATAAATTGTGGGCTCGGTCTGGTTTCGAGCCATGTCACGCCGAGCTTCCTCACCGACACTTTCACATCACCGGACTATCAGCTCCACTTCACCCGACACGGACCCGGCCTTGGTTTCTCCATAATTCAGCCGGTTCCGGGTGAACATCGGGCGGGTGCCGCGGCTGATTCTGTGCAGTGAAGCCGCGCTCTCATTCGATATGACACAACTCCATCTATCCTCGGTGGAAATTCGTTTTCCCCCCCTCGTTAGTTCCAAGAAATTGATCCGGGACTGCCTGCAAAAAGCGTTGCGAGACAAAGTTGACGAGGACGAGTCTCATGTCCCTCTCAATCTGATGAAGTATGTTCCTCGCTCATGGCTTATTTATCATCTAGCTGATCCTGGGCTAAACATTCCGTATCGCGTCGATCAGATTAATGGACGTGGAGTGCATCAAAAGTTCCACTTCAAGCCGCGATTTGGACCATGACGGTTGTTGCTAGCCATGCTCAATGGCCAGGCAGGATCGAGTGTGAGCTTGAAGAACGTGGAAGTAGCCCGGTAGCAAACGAATCAGACCTAAGACGATCAAAAACTTCAGGATCCAGTGTAATCTTATACATGATCACTAAGCAATCTTGGATCACCCAAGCGATGGAGACTTCATGTAATGCAAATAGACAGAGGCAGGGAGCCCCGTCTCATTATGATTGATTATGCTTCTATGTAAGGAATGTATCGTGATATGCATATGCCAAAGGATTGAATAGCGCCGGTTCCATGCAATGTCGAGTGTTCTCCCAATCGAACACCCTCCAATTATTTGATGCTGATTAATATGCTGTTTTTTTCGTTAAGTTGTTTCAGTGTCGTCGTAATTTACAGACCGCAGGCGTTAAGGCCGACCTGGGTAGCCTGGGCATCGATGCGACCAAGCTGAGCAGCCTGTCCATTGGTAAGGTCGTTCATGGCGCCGAGAGCCAAGTTGAAGCCGGAGCCAGCGTGGTCAATGGCGAGGACGTTGATGCTCTTGCCATTGTAGGTGAGCTGCCAGCAGGTGCCGCACTATCGTGTGCGCGTTAACAAATGTGGTAAAGAGATGAGGAAAGAAGAGTACAACTTACGCTGGGGGAGTTCCAGCCGGCAATGGCGTCAGCGCCACCGATGTAGGGGAACTTTGCGACCTGGCCCTGGTTCTGCCATCCGTACTTTGTGATGAGGCCGTTGGCGCCGTCGGAGCAGGAGACGGCGGTCAGGGAGCGGGAGCCGTCGTCGTAGCCGGTGTCGTAGGAGACGGAGACGGCGGCCGCGGCGGCGACGGAGGAGAGGATGGTGACAAGGTTGGAGAACTGCATTTTGTATGTGGTGGTTGTGTGTTGTGATTGAGGTGGTGTTGTAGATGGGGCTAGGGAAGCTTGTTTTTAGAGTTGTGAGATTGTAGTAGTTGGAGAAGCTGGTGTAGAAGCTGATGAGGATGAGAGAGAAGTAAGTCGGATGAGGCGAGTCTTCGGTCTCTTCTTATACAGCCTCGATCTAAGCTTATCCCTAACAATGATCAGCCTCTTCACTACCTTAGGCTCCATCACCAGACCCGAACCGAAGCTGATCATGGTCTCCAACGGCAAACACAGCAAGAAGGCGGGAAAAAGACAGCCATGACGTTGCGGTCTCTCCGGCAATAGCGTCATGTCGTGACATGGCCGGCAACAGGACCCTTGGCCGGCTTGGCGAGGACTCCATACTACATGTCACATCGTATGGGATGACTGCCGGAGGGGGGCAAGTCTTCCCCAGGGTTCCTTCAATTCGTATCGAGCGGCGCAGATTACGGGAAGCAAGGGAAAAGAGAGAGTTACTCCGTAGTCTGTAGAAAAAGCACCACCTGCACTGCCGATCACAGATCTGGTTTATTGACGTGGGGAAAGGGCCACTAGAAGGAGGCGAGGATTATTCTCGTATTCACTAGCCCCGATTTCCAGCGCCGTTGGGGGGCTCACGCTCATGGCATGGGGCGGGAACAAACACGCGATGCCTCGAATTGGCTGCTGCTGCAACGGACCGGCGACGGTGTGTAGTTGACCGGTGCATGCGACAGGGCTGTCATCCTGGGCTGTTTTTAGCAATTAAACACCGCTAAGGTTATTTGGGTTTAGCATTCCCTGGTTCCGCATCTTTGCCCCGGTTTGCCAGCCTCTATTTCCTCCCAGCCGCTTGATAATGGAGAAATAGACTGATTCCGAATGAGACTATCGCGACTCAACGTATGCTCTTAGGAACCAAGGATTTTGGTCGTTTTTGACATCGTTCTCAACTTGTTTGGGCCGTCGCAGAGGAGTCTCCTCGATTCAATATGCAGAGCTTGGCTCATTTGTGCGTCGGGCGACTTTCCCGCCAACAGGTGTTGATCTCTTGTTTTTCCCCACACAATGCCGGCGGGACGTAACGTCAGGTGGCTCCTTTTTCCTCGTGTTGCTTCTGGTCGCCAGAAACGGTTTCTTCGCCAACGCATGCGTCCGCTGCCCGTTGCGACCTTACTGTTTCCTCGTCGTACAGGAAGAGGAAAACAAGACTTGACATGAACAACCCCGAATCCGAGTGGTCGGGGCTGGCATCCTCGGAGGATTGGGGCTGGCGTTCTGCGATGCAAACGTCGAGCGTCATGGGCTTACGGCTGTGGCGGGCGCCATCCCACGTTCAGATGAGCCCCAAAAGTCAGACCTGCGTAGGTACCGCAACCACGGGCACAGCATGAAGAGGAGAGACCCCGACGCCAGTGGGCACCGGCGCTGAGTCTAACAAATCGTAGCTCGCTCATGATGGCGAAGCGGTAGGGCAGTGGGCAACTTGGTAGCCCTTAGCCCTCATTCGCCTTCCGTTCATTGGCATAAGGAGCGCTTCGTGCTGACCATCCGCGGCGTCGAGCAACGTTACAAGCGCGCAAGCGCGGATCAGCACGCGCAGTCTCACTCGTCTGCGACAAATTGGCCGATCGCTGTGTTAGTCGCTGTGTCGCCGTCCGCGGGGCGTCCGGTGTATCCGAGCTCCGCCGCCCTTTTCTCGTGATGCTCTTCTAAGTGATCGTCTTTGAGCTGAGAATAGACGTTGGTCATGGCCACAACGCTTGTGGCATCTGCACGGCAAGTGAATCTCCATCCGTAGCTCCGCAACTCCAGGATGGAGCTTTCCGATGCGGTTGACAAGCGTTTGCGATGGACGGTGGAGTATGCGGTTGGCTCGGCAGAACACGAGCTCTTGTCCTGATCTCCGCTTGCTTTTGGGAGTTTCCGATAGATCTTCGACGAAGGAGGCGGTGAATGGTCGTTACCGTGAGGACCCGTCTGGCAGCGAGTCCTTCGGAATTACATTTCGTGCTTAAGGCGGCTCCTCGAGAAGAGAGCCATGATCATTCCGAGTATTGGGTGAAAGATGCTCAGCCAAGATACTGACTCGGCTGTCTGCAGTCTCGGGGACTACCCGAAGGCGAGTTGCTCGTAAGAAGACGGCGATACGAGGTGGAGTTTGGAGATGGGCTGATGTAGGGCCGGGGAAGAGAATGGATTATTACGGATGACATCCCAACTTTCCGAAGGGTATGCTATCCAAAAAGCTGCGATAGATCACGAGGAGCTTCTCAAGAGATCGACACATTCTGTGGTCCGCCTGGGGTATTGCTATCATCAGACGAGCATCTTGACCGAGTGTGGCTCTTGGCAGTTTGTTGACGAGGCTGGTTATGTTGGTAAGTCGAGAAGTTAAAAGGGAACAGATGCCGCCAGCTTCTGGAAGCGAGTCGAGAGGAGAGAGCAGTGAGAAGTATGTCACACAACCTGACCCCGGGACGAGGCATGAGATGTAGTTGAAAGATGCAGTTGTCATTGGCAAGAGGCTCCAAGCAGAGAAAGTCAAAAGGAAATTGGATGAGAAGGAAGAGGCTACGCGATAAGATAAGATAGAGCTTCAGGCGCGGTCACCTCATTTCAGTGAGGTGAGGTGCGCTGAGTGGAGGATGTTCAGCCTCGGAGCAGGGCGATAAGACACTGTGACACTGCGCTGGGAGCTGACCGTGCATTGGGCGAGGTCCCGTACTCCCATTGGCCAATGGCGGCCTGAAGGGACACCCCGCACTCGGACGTACCTGTGTACACTGTAGGGCTTCACCCCACCAGGAAGCAGCGCCGGGCCGCTGAGACGCTCCGGTCATCGGGCGACATCCAATTTTTTTGAGTCACGAGCGACAGTTCAAGCGATACTGAGCTAGACTCACTCTCATTTTCACTTTTCTGCGTGAGAGCTCATTTTCATCTCACATAACAGCTACTAGAAGGTATCACAGATCCCTTCCATAACCTCCATTGGGATAACCGTCGATCGACGTGAAGCTTCCACCCCGCCTCACCGAATTGATCTGAACCCCTCACCTCATCTCAAATCCTCAGCCCACACACACACACTCTCACACACTCACCCCCTTGCCTCATCCAACCAACTTACACCGCCCGCCAGCCTCGCCCACCATGACCAAAGAGACGTTCGTGATCAAGACGCCCTCGTCCTCGGCCAACATCGGCCCCGGCTTCGACGTCATCGGCCTCGCCCTCTCCGTCTACCTCGAGCTGCACGTCACCGTCGACCGCTCAAAGACATCCTCCTCGGAACCTCTCAACTGCCGCCTCACCTACGAGGGCCAGGGCGAGGGCTCCTCCGACATCAGCCTCGACCCTTCCGTCAACCTCATCACTCGCGTCGCCCTCTACGTCCTGCGCTGCCACGGCCAGCGCATGTTCCCCGTCGAGACCCATGTCCACATCAAGAACCCCATCCCGCTCGGCCGCGGCCTCGGTAGCTCCGGCTCCGCTGTCGTCGCCGGCGTGATGCTCGGAAAGGAGGTCGGACACCTGGATCACCTGAGCTTGGACAGATTATTCGACTTCTGTTTGATGATTGGTGAGTAACCCCCTTTCTTGAATATGGATATCCTCAGCATCCCGAAGGCAGTCTTACTCACAAACAAACCAGAGAGACATCCCGACAACGTCGGCGCCTCGCTCTATGGCGGATTCGTCGGCACCTACCTCCGCCCCCTAAAGCCCGAAGACGTCCAGCGCATCGAGATTCCCCTCAGCGAAGTCCTGCCCGCCCCGGCAGGTGGCGTCGACACGGGTGAGACCCCGCCGGAGCCGCCCCACGGCATCGGCCACCACATCAAGTTCCCCTGGGCCAAAGAGATCAAGGCTATCGCCATCATTCCCGACTTCCAGGTTCCAACTCACCTCGCCCGTGAAGTGTTGCCGCCTCACTACACACGTCCCGATGTTGTAAGTGCCTTCTGACCCCCTATAGCCCCTCATGTCTTTTGTCACATACTCAACCAACCATAACCACAGACCTTCAACATGCAGAGAATAGCTCTCCTCCCCGTAGCCCTGGGCACCTCCCCCCCGGACCCGGAGCTCATCCACCTCGCCATGCAAGACAAGATCCACCAGCCCTACCGCCAGACCCTCATCCCGGGCCTAAGCCAGATCGTCGAGGGCATGTCCCCCAGCACGCAGCCGGGCTTCCTCGGCGTCTGCCTGTCCGGCGCGGGCCCCACCATCCTCGCGCTCGCCACGAGCAACTTTGAGGAGATTGCCAACAAGATCATCAAGATCCTCAGGGAGAACAATGCCGATAAGAATGTCGGCTGCGAGTGGAAGATTCTGGAGCCCGCTGAGGGAACGCAGGTCATCCGGTGAAGCAAAGTATGAGCTGGCGAAAAAGAAAAGATTTGAAAATTTAGAACACGTATTTGGGCGATTGGCAATGTTATCAAGCATTTAGAGGTCGGGAAATTTAGAATCTCGTTATGATACCCAGATGACCACCGGGAGCTCTCGATCTGTTCTATTACCATACTATGGTTCTATGTCTGCTTGCTCTGCAGTCCCACATCGGTCGGCCACGTCGCGACCTTGTCCTGATATTGCCTCAGCCTGTCCTCAAATGCCTCCCCATTCCAGCACTCTCTGCCGTCGATGACCTCCATTCGCGGCGGACCAATCTGCTCGATAACGAAGCTGGCCGCCACAGACCCATACGCGGACGCGAGCACCGCGTCACCCGTCCTCGCGAAAGTAACCGCAAACGCTCCGAGGAACGCATTACCGGCCCCTGTCGGATCTAAGACTTTCGAAGAGCCATTATCGTAGAAAGGGGGCAGCCACATTGGGTTGCCGCCCCGGGGGATCGTGAGACAGCCTTGTTCGCCGCACCTGATGACCGTAGCCCGCGGTCTGTTCCGCGCCTTTTCTGGCAAAGCAGGTTGTCCCGGGACCGTGTCGCCTCTTGAGAGATTGATAGCATGGTATTCAATCAGTGCTCTGTTGTAAGGGACTCCCGGACTCTCGTCTATGCCTTTCATGCGTAGGAGTTCGTGGTCATTGGGGGAGCAGATGTCCGAGAGGTGGAGAGCTCTCAAGTGCTTGGCTTCGCGGTTGTGAATATTGAGAGGCGATGGTTCCCATGCGATTAGGGAACTTGGGTTCTCCATTTTACCGCGGAGGTTCGTAAGAGTTTCCATATGGCGTTCGAGATCTTCTGGCGTCGCCAGGGTGTGAATCACCGAAGACTGGAGAAGCGGTCTAGGAAGCCGAGTTAAGTCAGGGTGCAAAGGTGGCACGGTATAACGAAACGTCTTTTCTGCGAATTGATGTTAGTCCGGGTACGAAATTGACCCAAGCCAAGATATCGGCAACTCACTTCCAAAGGCATCATTCTCATATTCTAACAGACCTCTCGTTGACAGCCTATCCGGCGTCTCGTCATAATGAACGGTGACACCCCATCCCTCAATCTGCTGCCTCACAGCAGTCGGGAAGTCAGATCCAGCAGTGATGACACACCACACGGTCGCAGACTCATTTTGCGGAACGGCAAGGCGTGCGCCGAGAGTACCTAACCACTATTAAAAGCTGAGCTTCACCCTCTGAAATATTCCCAAGAAAGCGACACCGAGAAAGAAGAAGCCAGTAATAGATGAAACTCAAAGTCCGGCTGCTACAGCTTCACTCACCATAAAGCCCAGAACCGCCAGGAACGTCGCGAAGAACTCTCCCGTCTGGGAAACGGAGCTCATCAATCACAACCATGCCGAGCGAAATAAAAGCCGGAGCCGGCGACCTCATCCCCGGCTCCGGACCGCCCGGCGTTTGGGACATCATGATTGGCTGTTCACGTTTGGCATGTCCCGGGGTGCTTAGACTTATTACGCCCTGGAATGAGATGGCAGAAGTTTGAAGTCTTGTTGAGAGAGACACACCACACCCGCCCCCGTTTGAGACCTTTCAGCCAGCCCGCCCGCAAATACGGCCAAACACGTGGACGGGGTGAGACGAAATGATTGGATCCTCGTAATTCCGAGCTGCACTCCCTGGGAAGGGCTGGAAAATAGGTACGCAAGCACGCAAGGTACGGGGGAGGCCCATGTCGAAAAGGTTGTTACGACGATGGTCCATCCATCTCCCGGGCCCGGCTCGTCTCTTTGCTCATCCGCGGATCTCGAATAGATGATATCTGCCACACCAGCTTGTCGCTCTATGTTTCAAACGCCATTATCACAGCTCGTAGACGAATAACGCCACAGCGGCTTTAACGACGTATCGTTGGCCGCGGCTACAGTGTGTCCAGAGACATCCTCTAATCTTAGACAAGCTCCCGCGTCCGGTATCCTCGCCGCGACCGCCCCGAAACGTAGAATTCTCCCTGACAACCCGCGTGTCTGAGATCATGAAATGTGACTGGGTACTGAGGTGAGGACGGCGCCTCAGATTCGCGGATTGGGGGTAGCATGGGAATGAGCGGTGAATGTGAAATCGCCTGCATCTCATTCGCCTCACTCAGTGTTCCAATGTAAGAGGCTCAGAGAGGTAGGCATAGGTAGGGTTCTCCCGAGTGCCTGGATACCAATCACGCGTTCCTGATCACCAATCTTGAATAAGCCAGGCCCGGCGGCATGCTTTCTTTTTTGAATGATCCTTATCTGTGCGTGCTGGTATCTAAGTCATCGGCGCGCTTACATACCTACCCTTTCAGACAGCATTACATTTGCATCTGCATGGAACATATGCGTACTTACACATGCGATAGGCGTCCGAGAAGGCAAAACAGTAGAGCGAGGCCATCGATACCGCGCCACATGTAAACGACAATCGTGATTACTACATGAGAGATTCGCGGCGTGGCCGGACGCAGATGAGGCGTGTATCAGTCAAGCCACCCGCCTTCATCCAATTGTCATGAAGGTGCTCTCCATGGGATTCCCGATAATGGATTTCCACAGTGCAGTTCTTCGTTCAAGGCACAATCTTGTCAAAGAAGCCGAGCCGAAGCATCCTGTCAGTCTCCCCGGCACAACCAACCAGGTCCAAGAATCAAAACTTCATACACGGGAGCGGCAGACGTCGCCGCACGGCCGACGCCCCGTCCGAGACGCCATACGCCATGGGCTACTAAAAATACCGGCGCTGGGGAACAACAAGAGTCGAACCAGGATTTCCAGACACACGCCAGAAAGAACAGACTCCAGGGCCTTCCCTTGATCGAGGAACCGGGCCAGTGGTTCCTCTCAGAACTCTTTCACTCGCACAGACTCGGCCCTGATTCGTGTGTCTTTTTTGGTGGTTCCAGCCATTAAAGAATTGTCCGAACGACCCCCACGGCGACGTGTTGGTCTGATGTTCGGCGATAGATACCTCGCTCTCCGACCTCTTCTTCTCGGTTTTAATCCGTCCGCTTGCATGGGCGCGAGTATCAGAACGTTCGGGATTCTAGGCCTCCTTCTTCGGCGCTTCTCCTTGCCGTCGTCATCAAGGATCCATTTTCAAAGCTTCTTCATGAATCAGGTTCAAGTCGTATCGATGGAGTCTTGTTCATGACTTCATGTCCCACGGGGGGTGAATATCGCCGAGTTGTTCGGAGATCTAGGTCGGACAGCGAACAACAGATTGAGACGCCGTCTGAAGTATAGCTTGCCACACCCTGCATAAGCTTCAAGGATTGGTAGAGAACTATACACAGGTGAGAGAGGAACGATCTTGAAGGTGCCGTTCGCATCGAGTAGGGGCGCACAAGACCGATTCAAGATGCGCCTTCTTGCTTACCCGCCAAACGTGGCAATTCGAACCGTCAAACATCTTCAAGTCGGAGAACGATTGCCGTACAACTGTCTTGCGTCGCCGTCTGTGACGGTGGACATTTTGAGAGGGACATGGGATTCTGGCAAGGTTTCCCAACGATCTGGCATTGCGCCGATCATCCTTCTCCTGTGGCCAATCATACTGACGCCAATTCAGTGAGTAATTCGACCTGCGGCAGCGGCACAAACACCCCCGGGACGGTGGATCTGAACCCCAAGCGGTGAGCCCAAGAAGCTATCTTATGGAGCTCCCCTGAGCTTCCAGGCCCCGGCTTGCCAACCAACCACCAGCGTATCGTGGCAGTATGTAGCTTCGCCCTGAGTACCTGTCCGTCATCTTGTTTATACCTTGATGCAGTGTCCCAGGTGCAATTTCCACCATGTTGGCAGGCAAATAGATTGGCCTTGGCTCAGTGCGATCTTCGGAGGGTTAATTCAAGAGCCCAGAGTCAAGACTCAACGTCTCGCCCCGTCCGCCATCTGGCTCTGGGGCGACTGGCCATTGATGTCGAACGAGAGAACCCCATCCAGGCCAGGCATGCCCAGCCGACAAGGGCGATCATGGGGTTGCAGGTCCCCCGGCGGCAGGGGGGGATACGCTAACCAGCCCCAGCATGTCTTGGTTGGCAGGCGCGGCAGGGCAGGGCAGGGCGGTACCTATGTTACGACGCTTCTTTGGGACAATCCCAGGGGCGACCACGGCGAAAGGAGAACTTGCGATCCAAAGAGGCCAGAGTCCAGAGTCCAGGACGAAAGCTCGACGAGAGTGTTCAAGAACGGATGACGAAAACAGGGACGGGAAGCGCTACGATGGCCAAGCCAGCTGTTGCCGAAGAGAGAACAATAGCGAGGATGGAGATGACGAAAAAAGGACGCCAATGCGCGTCTCGGTCAACAAATCTTCAAGTGGCAGACCAGCCGTGCCTTAGCCCTGAGCGAGTCTGGCGGTTCGTCCAGCGGGCCCTGACACGCCAGAGCAAGGTGTAGTAACAGCGAGCGTCAGTGGTGCGTCTGTGGTTGATAGTGCGCGGGTGTGAGAGCGAAGTGTGAGTTGTCTGATGGAGTGCCATAGGTAGTGCGATGTTGGAGGCTTCCATTGCTTGGGCTGTTGACCGAGAGGATTGTCGGAGAGAAAAGTACCCTCGTACCTTTACTAGGGCACCTTAAGTAAGCACTGGTACGTAGTGTGGTGTGAGTGGGGGCAAAGGGACGGGAAGCCGGCGTGCATGTACCGGGGGACCCGCAGCTGGCCCAAGCTCCTCAACGTCTCGAAGCTTTTGGTTTCCCTTCCAAGTTCCCTGTCCTTCTTTTCGCCTGTCCCCCGTTTCTGTCTTCTGTTCCTGCTCGCCTCGGGTTCCCCTTCCAAGCACCAAGCAGGGACCTGGAAACTGTCAAGGCGAAAGTCAACCCGCGCTGTCAGTGCCAGTCAATATTGTCGTAGCCAAGCTTCTTTTGATTCATGAGTGGAAATTGTAGTCGACAAGGAGTTAATAACGCTTCACGCTTCCCCGGTGCACAGCCTGGGAGCCAGCCATGCCAACTCAGCTCAACAAGCATTTTGATGGATACCTGACGTTTCGATGGATACGGAGGACGCCGCACGATCTGCAACTCTGCATAGCCATATTCTCAAGTTAATGCCGTCCCTGAAAATCATCACAAACATCGACACCGAGTCGTGGAGCCAGCCACGTAAGAGTGCCTAAACTCCCGTGACATTGGTCAGCGATACTTACTGTGTATTCATTGGCGCGCCCAGGCGACTCTATCATGCGACGGATCTGTGGAATCCCAGCTTGGTATCTGGGTTCTTCTGTTTACTCCTGCTCTGCCACTGTGACAATCTGTCCAGGGACCAGCCAGGCTTGAAAGGGTTATGGATGTCTCTATTTCTGTTGAGGAGGGCGTGTCTAACAACACCCAGCCCGTTCCTTATCGGTATCACCGGGAACCCCCCATGAGCCATGGGGACGTTGGAACGTGTCTGTCTGACATCAAGCTATCGCCGTTGCCTCTGAGTCTGCGTCTTCTCCTTCAGTTCTTCAGTCTATGGGAGTCGTAGGGGGGAACCGCTCGTCATCCCCCCCTCCATCAACTTCCTCGCCTTCACACCACAACTCACTCGTCTCTTCGATCATCGAACTTGGCATCACGATTGAAACTATGACAATCTGACACCCGAAAGCCAGTTCGCAGTAGGCACTAGTTTAGACTCGCACAACCAAGCAAACCACTGCACAGCGACACCAACCGCAAATTTGATAGGTTTCTGGGTTGGGTTTGGTGGGATAGACTCGGCCGTTCTCGCTCAATCTTCCACCCTCCTCCCTATGGACAGAAACGCTATGGCAACCCACGCTCGCCTACTCCTACCTTACTGCTTACCTCCCGTCCGGTGCCCGCCTTGGCAGGGTCACGAAGCTGCTTCATCGCAGCGCCCGACCACCTCGAAGAAACCAAGTGAACCGCCGAACCCAGTCTAGGCTCCACGGATAGAGTCTTCTTTGCCTGAACGTGCTCATCGCATACACGTGCCCTATCCTTGCTCTCTCTCTCTTCTTTGCGCATCGATGGATATGTCTCTCTTGTCTCCAGCGCCTCGTTTCCTGCCAAGTTTAGACAGAGTACTGGGCCCACTGTCACAGTGAATCTGCAAACAGCAGCCGTTCCATTCTCCACAGAACGGAACTAGATTGGCACGATTGGCACGGTTAGAATCTGTGTCCGACTCCGCGGGAGGTCACTGAAAGGTAAGTATCAGTCCTCACACCACCATCACAATGCAGAACCCTGGGTTCAGCGCCAGTAGATCCCAGATCCAAGAGCGGTGACGGTAACAGCAACAGCATTTCACAAAATCCCTGAGAGCTCTGAGGGGAGTTGGGGTAGGTTGGCAGGAAATACATGCCATACCCGCGCCATTCCCCTCCCGTCGTCAGCTCACGCGGCGCCCCGCGCAGATCGGGGCGGTCTGGTGCCCAGACTGCTCAGTGCTCCCCGACTCTTGCTTGGATTTCTGTTGTATAATAGTTGGAAAATAGTGCCGCCACTACGGATGCTCATCCGCAATACCCACCAAGCTACGTACAGCCAGTCTGACGATGGACTTGCCCATGTAATTTCATATCTAGTCTACGTGATCTTGCCTCGCGACTCGTAACTTACTGGAGAGTTCGTCGGCTCCTCTGGAAACTAGAAGGACGAGACCAGCTGCATCCGCGGGGAACAGACTAAACAAGACTCGCCTTATGTGCATGCGTGGTGGCACAATAGCGTTCCCACCCATGGGGCAGAATGCCGACACATACATTGAGGTGCGTCTCTCTCTCTCCCCACTCAACCAACCAAAATAACCATGACTTGTTCTCCCTGGGGCCCCTGCTGATCTGATTGGATCCCTCCTCAACAATTACCAGGGGGGCCATCTCACTCACTCAACTTACTCTCACTCTCACGGCAGTATACTCTTACCACAACATTGGCAGCTTACAGGCTCAACTAAGCTCTACAGATCAATAGCGTTGTACTCATTAGCCATGCTAATACAAAGTCAAGCCCAGAAAGTATGCGGAAACGGATACCAAGTGCCTGCTGGCAAGGGTACCTCACCCACTCCCGGCACCCGGCTCTCACCCTCCGCCAAAGGCCAAAAGCCATGCCATGCCATGCAGGCTGTCCTCCGCCGTTCACCGGACCTCCGGGTACATCCACCTCCTTTGTGCCTCTTACACGGACAACGGGCGCGACCTGTACTTTGACCCCGATTCCACGTTTCTTAGCAACGCAAGTACCTTTCCTTTTCTCATTCCCTCGTAAGGTAAGGTAGGTTCAGATAGGATGCAACTCTTACCGTTTACCTTACTCTGCCACCGTACCACACTCTCACTCACCCTTTCCATCAGCACGACCGCAACCGCCGTTCTCATCCCATCCCATCCCCGAACCCAGACCAGACCTGGGACCGCCCTCCCCATCCCCGCCTATCTCTGTCTCTGTCTCAATCTCATCCCACCGCTCACTCCGTCGCATCTCATCCCATCCATGCCCCTACCCTCTCCCCAATCCAAACCTGTCCAAACTTATTCGCCGGCCCACCCTGGCCAAGTCCCCGTTCCAGTTCCCAGTGTTCCAGTTCCAGTTCCGGGGGGGTCGTCAGACAAGAGAGGGTGTGTATCTACGCCCTGTGTGCATGGAGGTGTACGTGTGTGTATGAATGCTCGTGTGGTAAGATAGCGCGCGTATGTGTGTGTGAGGTGTGAGGTGTGTGTGTGTGAGTGAAGCTCTGTCTCGTTGTCTCTGATCTCTGATCTCTCTCCCGCCCTTCCCTCCTTCCGTGCGTTTGTATATCTGCCGTGCAACTCCCCCTCCATCCTCTCTCGATTCCCTTCCATCCAACCGTTCATCAAGTCTACTACATCTGCCGTCCGTCCGTACAAACGCATCTACTCTGCCACTCGCACTCAGCAAGCCTAAAGCAACCTCTCACTCTCATCTCACATCTGAGTCTTAAGACATCATCACCAACCTCTTCCAACAAGCTATCAGAACTATAAGCCTGGTCGGCACTTGAACCCCAAAAACATCAACCAACACATCGGAATCTCTTCAAACCCCCCAAACCCCCAAAAACCGCCAACATGTCGCGCATCACCGCCCCCGTCGCAAAGCTCACCCGCTCCATCAACTCCGCCGCCACGGCCAGCCGCTCCAGCGGCCTCCTCGAGTCTCACTACAACGTCAACCACGGCGCCGTCCTTATGCCGAAATACGCAGAGCTCCTCCAGAACCGGAGCACCCGCGAGCACGATGTATGTCACATACACTCTCCCCCCTCCCTTCCCCTCCCTTCCCCTCACTCCCCGTAGTTCTCTCACGAAGAGGCTCTACTATTGAAACAAGAAACCCCAACTAACACGACCACAGTCCGCCCGCACCCTAAGCACAACCCACCGCCCAACCCCCCAGCCAACCCGGACCTCCCCCTCCGTCCGCCAAATGCAAACCTTCTCCTCCGGCGCATCCTCCTCTACCAACGCCGGCGGAATGGACTTCACAATCCTCCCCATCTCCTACGACCCCGTCCCCAGAAACGAATTCGCAGGCATGCGCATGCCCCTCCTCCCAGACTCCTTCACCACGAAACACCAGTCTCTCTACGAGCAGACCCCCGCCTCCGCCGCGGACGCTCTTCCTCTATCCAAGCCCGAGATCTCAATCATTGCCGCGCACCCCGAAAACGTCACCACCGCCGCCGCGTTGACTGAAGTCGAGGGCTTCGGCGTGGACGGCGTGGAGCTGAAGTGGGCCCACGACAGCGAGGCCGCCGCCGAGACGGAGGCGCACCAGCCCGGTTTGAGAGATTTGTGGAAGGGACTTGTTGATGACGTTATGGGATCGTCGCAGAAGCCTGCTTTCTAAGAGAAGGAAAATTAGAAATGCTGTGTGCTCCGACGCAAGGGTTGGGAATGATTGTTATGATGTGAGACTAAACAGCAAAGCGGATGATATTACTTCAACGTCATGTAGTATGTGGACTTGCTTGGATAGCAGTCGAGACAGTTCTTTTTTTCATTTATCGCTGGTTTATATGGTTTTAATTGCGATTCAGTTGGTAGGAACACCAACTTGACATCCACAATCGGGTACGAGTAGCATTTCAAAAATTCAATGGCTCAGATTTGGATCTTGCTTAAGCAAATCCAGCCCAAACTTCACTCGCATAAACTGTCCGCAACACCATGGTGACCTTGATTGTTAAAACTTTTGATTGCCAATTTGGTATCGTCCGGTACCGTACACTCCTTTTTGCGAATACAATCCGCGATTCCGTAAAATTTGCTTGCACCTGTGACTGAGAACCCCGAATTCATCGACCCTCCTCGTACATTACACAGGTATCCATCCTGGCGCAGTAGCATCTACTTATTGTCCGCCCACTACGTCCTGTAGTCAACTGCCTTACGCACGCCGCCCACCCCACTCATCTAGGTGTGAATCCAACTTGTCCAACCACTCAACCCCCTTTGCACATTTACCGCTTCTTCATGGTCGGGCGAGGCTTGCACTCATCCGCCTGAACCGGGTGCAACATGACCTTGGTGGGGTACGCCTGCGTGTTGTGCTGGAAGCCCTTAGCCCAGTCATAACTGATACCGTACGCGAAGATGGATCCGGTCTTGTTGAAGGTGGTGGCCGTGATGCTGCCGCCGACCTGGGGGTAGCCCTTGAGACGGTGCTTGGCGTCCTTGTCCCAGAAGTGGAAGGTGCCGTCGGAGCCGGCCGTGCTGAAGGTGCCGTGAACGGGGTGGAACGAGATGTCATTGACGGCATAGACGTTGGTGACGTTATTGGCGGGAGGGTCTCGGTGGCACTTGAAGGAGAAGTTGGATCTGTTTGTACAGTGTTAGCCGCCTGCCGCAATTCGTTCGTGTGTTCCCAGAAATCAAAACTTACGTAGCATCCTTGTCCTCGACATACTGAATCGCGCAACGTCCCTCGATACTACCAATGGCAAAGCCAGCGGCGTCCGCGAAGCAGCTGACGACCCTCGTCTGCCACTTGAGAGGGCTCTGCAGGGTCTTGTAAAACTTTGTCGGGTTCTTGAGGTCCACCACGTTGATGTACCGGTCGGCGGTTCCTATGACGAGGAGGTCGTTTCGCACGTCGATCGTGTATACGCGTTCCTGGCAGGCCAGCGACGCCGCGGGTGTGGGCGAGCGCATGTCCCAGTACTTGACCGTCTTGTCCCAGGAGCCCGACACGGCCATCGGGGTGCCGGACGACTCGAAGAAGCGGACCGACTTGACGGGCTGGTCGTGCTCGCCAATCTTGATCGTCTGCTGGGAGCCCAGGTCGCAGAGCTTGACGGCCTTGTCGGCGCCGCCAGAGAGAACTTTTGTGCCGTCCTTGTTGGAATAATGTTAGCCAAAGTTCGTTACGTATGTATGTAAAGTCGGATGTATCATACCTTGGACCAATCGCAGCCCAAGACTGGACCATCATGTTCGTAGGCGTGCCGCCCTTCGCTCTGCCCGTTGGGTGCAATCTCGTATATCCTGACCTTCTTGTCCCAACTGGAGACTGCCAGGAAGTCGCTGGTCTGGTTCTGAGCGGGAGAGAAGGCGAGATCGGAAATACTGTCGTCGGGCGGGTTGTTGAGAGCGACGTCCTGCTTGAGATCGCCAACCGTGTTGCTCGACGAGGCCGACGATGCGGCGCCAAAGAGGCCGGACATGTTGACGGTGTGTTGTCGATCGAGCTATGTGCTGTGGTGTTTGCGTGGGCGGTGAGAATGGTATCGTAAAAATTCGAAATATGGATTATCCTGGCAATCAGAGTGTCTGCTGAAGAGGATTGTTGGCAACAGAGGCGGGCGACAGGTAGCTTCAAATAGCTGTTGGGAATCGTCTCCAAGTGAAGCTTCCCGTCCAAATTCCACAGACCAGGCACGAAGGCAGTCGCGATGCGAAAAGTGATGGCCACCTTTCATTGGCTGCAAAAGCCACAAGGCTGGGTGCCTGACGTCCCTGCGCTTGAGCCACACCTCAGTTCAAAGGCCGGCAGAGAGAAAGAGGTCCCCACAGCACGTCAGCCACAAAACGGGCCCCACCTTACAGCTCCGAAACTTTTTTTTTTCTTTATAAAAAAGACTGCAAGCTTCGCGTCTGTTCCTCTATTCTTTTTCTTCTCTTCAACCCCCCTCGTCCGACAAATCGCCATCGAAGCTCACAAACGGAGATTTCCTTCACGGGAGTCTCAGATGCAAAAAAGCTTTGGGAGAAAGTCCCCGGACACACGTTACTTCCCTGTTACAGGGGAAGCCAAAACGCCGCGGAAACGCGCCGCCATAGAAGCACAGCGGCTGACCTCCAAGACCTGCGTCCGGACACAATGGACTCTTTCACAACCCTGCCCCGTCGCTACATTGTTGGTCCTTCTGCTCTTTCGAGACCCTGCTTTCGCTTTCCGGGACCCTTTGGATGAAGATATGAGTCCGCGTCTGGAGAGTTGGGAGTTGGGGATCATGGGGTAGAGGAGCTTTCGATGACGGGGTGGCCGTTGGGAGGGTTTCGCTTGCCGGGCGAATCCAAGGGTTCGTCGGAGGGTCTTTCGTCGAGATCGATAGGTATGCGATTGCCCGTCCACAACTTCTCTACTGAGGTTGGGGCGTGTTACTCGATGGGGCTTATTCTTGGTGCGAGGGGGGTTCAATCCAAATCTTTTGGGTTTTGTTTCTTGAGGGTTTCGTCCCCAATCTTTCTTTGTTGGTCCGCAAAGGGGCTAGACACCTACACTCTGGACTTCGTGGGAAGTCTCACCCGTCTATGATGCCCTGGATTCAACCAGGGGATGTTGGGACACTGTTCCAGTTCGATGATGATTACCTATAGAGTCAAGCACTGACGGTGAGAGGCCTTAGGGTCCGCCAATGTGAGCGACAAAACATGCGTTATGGTATCTGATGAACATTTGGAACTCTTTTTTTTTTTCCCCTTTCTTAAACATTCAATTATCAAAGGACTGAAAAGTCCGGGAGATGTTGTCTCTCCCTGTGGCTCATGTCACAGAGGTATATATATAAAGAAGAATAGAAACAAACATGAACATGGTATATCTCAAAGCCTCGTCATAACGTGCCCTGCGCCGAAAATTTCTTCCACGTTTCAAACATGAACCATCCATTCGTAAAAGGGGTGCGCCAAAGAGAGAAGAACTCCGTAGACAAAAACAATGCAAATCGTTCCAGACATGGGTCCCATATATCCCGTACGTGTTCTCTCCATCACATAAGCCCACCGAGCACAACCTTGCCGATATTGGCCACCTCCGTCTTGATGTGCGACCTGCTGCTGTCCTCAAACTCCTTGACGACGCCCTGCACGATAATCTTGCGCACTTTGGTGTCCGCTTTCGCAAACAGCTCCGCCACGGGCGCCGTCGTCTCCCGCGGCGTGGGCACCAGGCTCAGCACCTTGGTGTAGACGTCAATCAGCACCTCGCACAGCGTCGCAAACGTCTCGTAGAAATCCGGCTCGAACGGCAGCGACGGCGTGAGCAGGTGCGTGTACACCTCCCCCGGCAACAGATCGTTGTCGCTCGACGCAAAGGACATGACGCTCGCGCTCGCGCTCGACGAGCCCCCGATGCCGCCGTAGCTTCCGCCGCTCGCCGAGTCCGAGTCGAGGGGGTATCCGATGTCGTTTGCGCCGCTGGTGCTGCGCCGTGATTTGCCGCCCTGGCGGCGGAACATGGAGGGGAGGCGGGCGCGGGAGAGGGAGGAGGTGGAAGTGCCGCCTTCGCTGTGGAGTTGTTGGAAGGACTCGAATTCTTGGAGGAGGTTGTTGAGGCTGCGGAGGAACTCGATGGGGGTGTTTGCGTAGAGGTCGACGATCGTGGGGAGGGAGAGGCCGAGGAGGAGGTAGTTTGTTGCGCGGCGGGCGAGTTTGCGCGACTCAAAGGAGGGCATGCGGGCGAGGTCGGGCTTGTCGAAGAGGATTGTGTTGAACCAGTATACTCGGCCTTCGTGTCTGTTGAATCATAGTTAGCACGCTAGTAACCCAGGTGTAGAGATGGGTGTAGGACATACGCTTTCCGTAGATAGTCCAACGTTGATATCCTCTTGTTCGCAATCTCCTGCATCTGCATGTGCAACACGACAGACTCGCTCGACTGCCACATGTTGGGATGTGTCGCGGACGTGGGCGGCGGCTGTAGGCGGTCGCTGGGCGCCAGGCTCGTCGAGCCGGTCTGGGTACGGCTCAGCATCCTGGAGAAGCTGTCGGCGGAGGCGGGGCTCTGGATGTTGTCTGCGTCGCGGGTGATCTTTGCGGCGGCGGCGAGGGCGAAGTCGGGGAGTGCGGGCGGGACGTTGCGGTCGGTGACTACGACATTGCCTCCTCCGCCGGAGCTGGAGCTGTTGGCGCGGCGCTTGGAGGAGGAGGAGGATAGGGAGGAGGACTTGTTGGGCGAGCTGAAGGAGGTCTTGCGGCCAAAGGAGTTCTTGCGGTCCTTGATGAGGACGTTGGGGCCGGAGGACTGCGGTTGGAGGGGCGGCGGGAAGAAGGGGGACGGTTGCGGTGGTGGTTGGGACTGGGACTTTTCCGGTGGTTCGCCAGAGGAGGTGCCGGGACGGGATTTTGAGGAAGAAGAGGAGAAGAAGGAGGAGGAGAAGAATGGCGCATTGGCGGTCGTGGGAGGTGGTCCGGATCGCTGCATGTCTTTGAGTTGGAGGGGGTGGCCTGGAGGCTGAGCCTGGGCCGCCTAGGAGTGGTAGTGGGAGTGGGAGTGGGAGAGAGGTGTGAGAGGATGGGCTGGGACGGGGACGGGAACGGAGAGCGGGCGGGATGACGGGGGATGACGGTGTGGTTCGCGCCAGGGAGGTGGAAGAGTTTCCCGTACGGATAGTTAGGTACGGGTACGCAGTAGGAGGGCGTGGAAGGGGAAGGGGTGTCAGGGACCAGGTTCAGGATTCCGGCGAAGGAGGGCGGACGAGGGGCCGAATCGATCGGCGAGGGTGGTTTCGCGCGTGGTCAGGCCAGGTTCGAGGTGGTATTGGATCCCGAGGCGTGCGGCGTGCGGCTGCGACTGCTGCGTTATGTTGCGTTGCGTTGCGGTTGCGATTTGCGTGGGTGCGTGATCAAAGACAGAATAAAGTGGCAGATGCCGATGAGGGATATCGAGCGTGTGCGTATCTGCGTTGGTACGTCGAGTGCAGCTGGATGAATTGTTTGCTTTGCCTTGCTCTCTCTTGCGGGTACCTTGCGCAAGTGAGGTAAGGTACGGTACTTTGCTGAATGAAGTCTGCAAGCCAAGGATGGATACAATGCAGTTGCTGCTAGGTGTCCCCCCTTGCCTAAGGTAAGGTACGGATACAAAGTTGAGTTGGTTTGTGTGCGTACTTTAGATGCGTATGTGCTTGGTTTGCGTGGTTGGTGGTTGGTGGTTGCGTCGTGCTGCTCGCTTGATTCCTCGTTGGACCCGATGCGCGAACTTGCTCAATTGCCCCCCCTTGCTTGACACTATGACTTGCTTTTGCAGCAGCTTATGGGCTTTCGTCTGCCCAGTCTCAAGTCTCCGGTTGGTCGATCGCAGGCCACGAGACCACTTTTCCCCCCTTTGCCACGGCCCACGGGTTTGCTGCTAAGCAGATGTGGTGGTGTGCAGATGCTGCAAGGCGGAAATAGGACCGGTTCACTGGACTGAAGCTTGATCTCCCTCCCCTTCCAATAGTGAGGTACTAGGTAGGATACCTAGACGAATGGCACAGGCAGCCTGTAGGAACCGCAGGTTAAGATTAGCTCAAGGCCCCTGGGCTGCGGCACTTGACGCAGAATGCGATTCGGACAGATTGGGGCTAGTCGTCAGCCTGCAGGTTGGAGTTTAATGAAGACTGGAGAAACGCGGAGCTCAGAGTTGCTTTGGTTCAAAAGTGTAAAAGACGTTGCGTCGCGGGCGGGTTTCGTTCTTTGGAGACGGGAGGAGGAAATTGAGTTGACGTTGCTTCAGCCTTCGGTGTGCTTGATGTAGGACGGGGGTTCGCGACGGTGGGTGATACAGAGAGGATCGTCAGGTTGTCCGGGACGTCTTGATTTTATTATGGGTTTTTGTTGTATTTGTTTTTGTTTTGTTACTGCTTCGGAGTGGGAAAGTGGATGTCAAATATGTCCAGGATGATGTTCGGAGACGGACGGGGGTGTATTGATTGTCCAGGCAAAGTCGCAAAAGCTGTGAGTACGGAGTACGGAGCAGTGAGCAAGGGAAATAGATGTCCCAGGGAAATGGATGTCGTGCGTCTTTTGTTCTAATATTCTCAACCCCTCCCAAAGAATATGTAGGGAATATCCGTAGTCTCCTCGCCGGTGTGGGTTAGGTGAGGGGATGGTTCATGTAGCACAGAGCTAGGTATTCGTACAGACAGAAACAAACAATCCACCTGACGTATGCGAACTTGCAATAGCAATTATCCGCGGGAAATGCTGCACCGTCCGTTCGCAGCTGAGGTTCCTTTCTTTGTGTAGCCGACGATCTCAGGGCACCACCCAAACACCTAAAGTAGGTAAGGTATATATTATTGTTGGTGCTCGAGACTGGGGAACTCGGCGGTCGGGTGCTTTCTGAGACCTGTTTTGGCGGGGTTCGGAGGTTTAGGAAAAGGCTAAAAAAGAGTACGCGAATGCCAACAAAAGATAATGACATGAGTGAATAAAAAAAGAGTTGTGTCTGGAATTAACTCGGGCAGAAAATAACCCCAAACATGATAAGACGACACGAATAGCTGATGCTACTACACCGGTCCGTACAGAGATCCGGAGGAAGAGAGGTCCAAGCTGCGTTTATCCCTGTGATTGTTACCGTATGCTGATCACCGTTCGTGGTTATTAGATACGCAAGTGATCATCTGCCGGATTATCTCATGTTTGGCTACACGGTGTTCCCCAAATCGCCCGGTGGAAGGACCCCAGTGTTCCAAACATTGAAGAAAGACTTGCATTGGAAAATAAAGATATAACGAAGCTTCCATTGCGTGCTATCTCAAAATCCAGTTTCATAAAAAGAACATCAACTTGTGGAGAATGCGACTTCAACAGAAATCGGTCAAACCACAACTTGCAGCTCACCTTGATACCCCATTATCACGTCCGAGTTACACGCCGGAGCAAAAGTATCTGCAAGCCACCTTCAACTCTGCGACACAGACATTCGACAACGAAATGGCTTCGGAAAAAGGGCCCGTAGAGCCATCTCCGCCACTTCTTGCATTGGCGGAATGGCTGCACGGGAAATGTTCTAGGGTCAAGCTTACCGAATTATTCCTCGGCAGTGCTAACCACGAAAGCATGCAAGCTTTCCTGTCCAGGTGGTTCTGCTCCATTTCCCGGCGCTCCTTCACCGAGGTACTAAATAAGTCTGATTCCATCGTGAAACTTGTTCCCCTCTCTCTCTTCAACCCCCTTGCCCACCTCTCCACTATCTACCTGCGGGCATCGATAACAGGAACATCCATCATCTGCAATACCAATTGTCTCCCAATGGATATCGAGCACGGCAATGTTGACGATTGGCCAATCTCCCCGGGGTCAAGCAGATCATCTGCTCCCGTGCGCCCACAGACACCGAGCCGTTGCTTCTAAATACCAGAGTCTACCACCGCGCAGCGCCCAAAGCGCAGACTCGACAACAAGAGCACGGCACCCACACAACACAGCACATACCCTCCCTTGCTCCTTCTCTTCCTCCTTCTCCTCCCGGAAGCCTCTGTGCCTCTCAGCCCCAATCCCATGCCGTACCTAGGCAGGTTGGTCTCCCCGCGTAAACCCTGAAACATTCCAGAAGCTCGAGTCCCACGTGGTGAACGGACTCCCGGCCAAGGAATATACCACACTTGAATCCCACCACCCGCACCATTGCACTGCACCCACGCGACTAGGCTTGTTATCCGAATGGCTACCTTAGCTGGGCAGTCAGAAGAAAACGCCCATCTTCTTCGTTCAAGAAAGATCAATTTTAAATCCGAGATAACCACGCTAGGGAGCACTGATCGCACACTGATACAGATTTGTACCTGCAGCCGGGTTAGATAAGACGGAAAGGAAAAGATGGGCTCAACGTCGATCAGCCGCTTTCCCGCACCATGCGCTCCCGCGAACTTCAACGGTGAGTTCATTCGCTATGGATGAGCGAAAAGTCGGTGGCTGCTTCGAATATGGTTCTACGCTATCACAAGCCTGCTTCAGATGGGAAACCTGGTGGCGGCTCCTTCGAGGCGCAATCGAACGATTTCGTCCCTGTCTCTCTTACTCTCACAACCGTCAATTACATTACGATTACCAGGTTCTATATCTCACTAAGTACCACGCGAAGAAGTCTTCCCGTGAAATCCTCACGCCGCCATAAGCGTAGCCGCCGGGAGCAGCCCCGACGAAGCCGTCGTCGCGCAAACACATCCCTGGCCAGCAATACTCGTCACAGGCGGACTCGTACACGTCGAATACGGCTCATGCGCCGCAAACGTCGGCACCGGCGCCGGCGCCACGACCTCGGCTTTCACAAACACGGGAATAATCTGGCCCGTGGACAGCCGAAAAGCACGGTGGTTCAGCGCCTTCAGGAGCTTCGTGATCTCGCCCGAGTGGCTCGTGATGCTCAACCACGTCTTGTCGTCGGCGCGGAAGACGTCGTCCAGCACGGCCTTGGAGCGCGCGTCCTGGGCGTCGCTCGTCTCGCTTTCATTGCGGCGCCAGAGCTGGTCATATTCCGCGAACCCGGGCTCAAATTCGAAAGAAGGGAAGGTCGAGGCGATGTAGGTCTTGTTGGAGCGCCAGTTGCAGGTGTGTACCGTCATACCCTCGCGGAAGCCCTCCTTGACGACGGGGACGAAGGGGTGCTCGTCGGCCGGGATGGGGATGTCGCCAAAGGTGATGTTGGCGGTGTAGCCGCAGCGGATCAGGGGGCTGGTGTAGTAGGACTCGAAGTAGGGCATCTTCTGGGTCGCGTAGCGGTCCTTGAAGTAGGCGTTTGCCTTGAGAGCTTCGTTTGCGCCGGCCGGGGTCAGGAGGGGATCGGCCCAGCGGGCGGTGGCGTTGCCGTCTTGTTCGGCCCAGTAGCACTGTCGTCACGTTAGCTGCGGTGGCCTTGCTGTTCTCGGTGGTGTCGAGGTCATGTTCTCACGTTCCAAGCGGGCGTGCCGTAGAATGACTCGGCGGCGTTGTGCCAGCCCTCACCGTGGCGGCCCATGAAGAGCAGCTTGTACTGGACGCTGTCGCTCTTGCGGCAGCCAGAGTTCAGGTACTGGACCCAGTGGTCGAAACGCTGCCATTGGGTCTTGACGCCCTCGGGGTCGAAGTGCTTGTCCGTTGGGTACGTCCGGTTGATAAGACCAAAGTTGACCGCAGCCTATCGTAGGTTATTAGTGAGAGTTTCGCATCGAGATATCTCCCAGGACCGGCAAAACGTACATAGTCGAAGCCGGTCGGATCAGTACTGTTGTCGTCCTGCAAGAAGTACCCAGGAACAGACGTGTACTTGATGTCCTTTCCCTCGGCCTCTGGCCAGGCAGCGAGGGCGAGGGTGAGAGGTGCGAGAGCGAGGACGGAAGACAGCACGAGACCCTTCATCTTGGCGGAGGTGCTTGTCGAGAGAATGAGCAAGAGGACTGGAGCTGGGGAGAGGTACATCGCAGCGTAGCATGCGGGGAGGGAGAGAGCTCTGGATAAATAGCACCGAGATGGAGAAGACCGACGATCCCCGCTCCAAGACCCCAGTCATTTCTTCTTGAACCATTGACGCGCCATGCCGGGGCAGATTGCCTAGATGAAGCGCCGGTGACTCGCCAGGCTCAGATTCGAGATGTCGTCCGAAGAAAATCGGCATCCGGGGGACTGGAAAGTTGCGGGTGGTCAAAGATGGTGATCCCTGGCGGTGACCAATGGATGGATTAATTGTTGCACGTGGGCGCCTGTGATGGCCCGGGTTCCTGGCAGCGGATGACACCCGACCACGTTTTTGTTATTGTTCCTGAGTGATTTCAACAACTTTGATGGAGACAATAGAGATTTGATTGAGGCTCATCCATGGGATATTGCCAGTATCGGAAGTCCAGTATTGGAAGATGGCCCGGCTAGCTAAAGTCGTCAGGTATTGATGAACATCCTGTCATTCCCAGCCATAGCTTCTGGGGCGTATATTTGGTGCACTGTCGCAATTTCAAGGCCCCAAGATGTTCATTCATTGTCGAGCTGGGCCGGTATTCGTTGTGTCATCGAACAAAAAGGAAGCTCCAAGACAATAGGCCATCAAATGCTGCGGCAGATGCGTTTATCCAAAGGTTTGTCAAAAACACGTGCCAATCCGTCCATCTGATGTTTTTGTTGGTGCTACTGGGCAGGTACGTAGATGGGAACAGGGGAAGAACCGTTGGGACGGGATGGATGACAGCGGGCAACACGACAGCCAAACATGTGAACCTGGACGGCTGGCGAGGAGCTTACAGTGGACCTGGGACCCGATTCACCAGAAAAAAGGCCCCGTGAGCGCCGTTGCGTGGCTGGTCCGGCCGCTGGAAAGCTCTGGTGGGTCTCGGCTATCGCAGTGGCGCTGGAACCTCGCCAATCACACGGCGCCGCTACGGGAGCGGGACATCGCGACCTGAGCCATTGACATGCCGTCCCTTCAAGGCTCAATCAAACCTCATGTGAAATTCGCCCAGTCGGTGAAACTTTGTTGACGCAACACCAGCAGGTCATTATCACAAGACTTTTGCTGTGCATTCATTACCTAGCAGTCTTAAGGTTCCCGGGATCCTGGAGAATCAGCAATACATTGGGTCACCTTCAACTCCCACATCATCAACCCATCATGGTCAACTCCGACCCTGAATACCCACCCGGCGAGCCAGCCCCTGAGATTCTGGAGGAGCGCATCTGGATCGATGGCTGCTTCGACTTTTTCCACCACGGTATGTCGACTGTCACGCCTGCCTCATAGCTTCAAGGACTGATCGTCATAGGCCATGCTGGAGCCATCGTGCAAGCCCGCCAACTAGGCAGCGAGCTCTACATCGGCGTCCACTCCGATGAGTCCATCCTCGAGAACAAGGGTCCGACAGTCATGACTCTTCAAGAGCGGTACATCTCTCTGCTCCAATTCACAGCACGTTACTAACATTCACAAAAGTCTGGCTGCCGTCGACGCCTGCCGCTGGGTCACAAAATCCATCGGCCAGGCCCCCTACGTGACGCAACTCGACTGGATCAGCCACTACGGCTGCAAGTACGTCGTCCACGGCGACGACATCACCTCGGACGCCGACGGCTACGACTGCTACCGCTTCGTCAAGGAGGCCGGCCGCTTCAAGGTCGTCAAGCGCACCCCCAGCATCTCCACCACCGACCTCGTCGGCCGCATGCTCCTCTGCACCAAGACGCACTTTATCAAATCCCTGGAGAATCTCTTGTCCGGCGATGAGGGTCAGGGCCAGGGTGCCGCCTCCCGGGACGAGATCAAGGCCGAGGCCGAGGCCCTGACGGAGCGGATGAAGCTGTACGCTACCGACGAGACGGGGAAGAACCCCGGTGTCGAGGTGTGGTTCTGGGCTGCATCGGGGGAGGCAAAGGCCGAAGCTACAGTCGAGGAGAAGGGCGTGTTTTCGCGGTTCTTACCGGGCAAGGGACCACAGATCGGTCAACGCGTCGTCTACGTCGACGGCGGCTTCGACCTGTTTTCCAGCGGGCACATCGAGTTTCTCCGCCGGGTGGTCGAGACCGAGGAGGAGCTGGCGCGCGGGGAGGGATGGTATACCGAGCAGGCCGTCAACGAGCGCGTCAGCAAGGGCGGCGATTATCCGCCCGCGTACGTCGTGGCGGGTATTCACTCTGACGAGGAGATTAACCACTGGAAGGGCATCAACTACCCCATCATGAACATTTACGAGCGCGGTCTCTGCGTGCTGCAGTGCAGGGTACGTCCTTCAACAGCCATGATGGACGGCTTCGAGCATGACTATCCAAGTAACGATACGCTAACAAATAGTATTGTAGTACGTCAACGCCGTCGTCTTCGGCGCCCCGTTCGCCCCGACAAAGGCCTACCTCACGTCTCTGCCGTGGGGCACGCCGGACGCCGTGTACCACGGCCCCACAGCCTTCATACCGCTGACGTACGACCCGTACACGGCGCCCAAGGAGATGGGCATCATGCGGGCGGTGGGCGAGCACGAATTTGCGAGCGTCAACGCCGGGACAATTGTGCAGCGCATCATGAGAAGCCGCGACATGTACGAGGAGCGGCAGCGCAAGAAGGGCATCAAAGCCGAGGGGGAGTCTGCGGCGCGCGGGAGGGAGATTCTCGAGGAGGAGCAGGCGGCGCGGGAGGCGGGTAGGGCGCGGCAGTGAGATTGTGTGTGTGTGTGTGCATGCATCGTGGGATCTTTGAGAGGGGAGCATCATTATGAGGCCGGCAGCATGTTTACATTTGGATACCTCGAGTAGCAGAATTCCTTTGGGTTGAAGGGCAGAATGGATTGGCCTTCAACAGGTCACGGGTGGAAGAAAGGGAACTACCAAATGATACCTGGAGAGAGTACTGGAAATCACAGATAGTAAAATATTACTTTAGTATACTTATCACAACGTGTCTGCTAGTCTCCGCGTGTCATTACTTGGGATGTCTCGGTTGGGCCTATGTGGGTGAGTCTGGGTGTGCGTGAAAGTGTGTCTCAGAAGGATGAACGGCGTCTTTTACATACTTTCCAGACCGCCTCTCTGTGAATGATATAGCGTGATAGGTAGGTACTATAGTCAGACACACACTGCGCAAACAAGTGCGAACCAAAAGATTGGCGCCGCGATCTAAGGGGAAGAGACGAGACATGTCCGGTGCCAAGCCACGTACCTAGGAAGAGAGTAGGCAAGGTACCCCGCGATTTGCAGGTCAAGTGACCAAAGGTCAGAGAGCCGGGCGTCTGCGCCCGTCTTTGATGGTTCAAACCCAGAATGTCCGTCCAGGTTGCGTTGCAGGGCTGAGACGTTTGGGAGAGCAGACCGGGCAAGTTGAGGTTCGTAAAGGTAAGGCGAGGTACTTTGATGTTTTGTATTGGATTAGAAATCGGTTAGGGATAAGCAACTGCCAGATCTGGGCATCCATCTCGTCATATGTAGGTAAGATAATCCCCATTGTCTCTCCGTGTTGACCGGGGAGAAGATGGAAAAAGTGTGTGTGTGTGAAGGAAACCGTGGAAGAAGATCCGGGCCTCCGGCAACCAACCCAGAAGGATGCATGCAGGAGGTTCGCATTGGTGGTGCATCGTGTGAGAGAAGATGTACAGTGCCAGGAGATGCTACACCTGCCTCAATGGTTACACTCGGCACCTTGAGGGATCTCGCCTCCGCCAACCCAAGCGATACGATCCAATGTTCGAGAAGGAAATTCGGGTTGGGATCTGTTGAAGAGATTTAAACGATGGAGGGGGGAAGCACGAGGCAGGGAGCACGGGGGGTTGCTACCTACCTGACCATTGGGACTGAAAGAGAAGGAAAGCAGTGGTCAACTGTGCGGCGTGCCTTCCATTGTGGTTGCTCGGACTTGTTTCCCCACGTCATCGCCTACACTCGGCTATCCGCGGGAGGGGTAACATGGGAAACCGAGAATGGAAGGGACAACTGACAAGGAAGGACCAGATAACGATAACACTTGCTTCCAATTCCGCTCTTTGGTTGACCACGCCTTCCTCCACGGCAGTGCCCAGGTACCTTACCTTAATGTGCCTTGAGTGAGGTACCTAAGCAAAGTACCTCAGCTGCACGCATCTCAACAACAGCAATTGGAACCTTGACATCTTGGCGACGAACTTGACGATGCGAATTCCGCACTCTCCTTTCCGTCATATTCGCGAATCGCGAGGTCCCGAGGCCAAGTGTGCACTTACGACTCGTCCTCCCGAAAAGACAACGCCATCATCACCGGGGATGACCTCAATTGACTCGATCGGCCGCATCAAAACCCTGTCGGGCCATGTCAATAGTTGTCGACTCAAAGGGCAAAAAGGGCGAACTGGACAAGTAGGGCGCGCTTGATCGTTGCGATGTCGGACCTTGCCCATGTTCATCCCCTGAACATGACAACATACTCGCTGCACCCGGAATGATGCTTATCGGGTAGCCAATGTGTTCGGAGTCATTATTTGTTGCGTTCGAGCGAGGTTGAATGAGACATCAAAACAACATCTACACTAGCCGAACTCCAAGTCCGATGCTGAAGCCACGCACACCACGGTACATACTGCGTACACTACATTGGGGGGCAGCACCGTTCGGCTTCGGACCGCGCGCACCAAAGCCGCAATGGGGCACAAGGACGTCGACCGACTGGAGCCGTGCCCGGCCGACGGCTTGTGGTGGGACAAACTGGAGGTGCATCGCCTTCTTGTACAGCATTCCCTTCCGTCAGGCAGTTCCCTGCTACACCTTAGACCGGCGCTGCTACCGCTGCTGCTGCTGCTTGCTGCATTGCGTTGCGGTGTACGACGGCATGTACCTGATGCGCCATTGACTAAAAAACCATCCCCCGACGAATGAGCGGCCGCGGCTTGACCTCTTGTTTCGTCACAGAATTTTTTTCGATCATGTCCCTTGCAACAAGTCGCATCTTTGCTGGTCTTCAGACGCTGCGCAGTCACGGCAGTATTAGGTATCTGTAGCCATCTCGAGGTGGGATGGCCCCGGCTCTAGCGGATAACTGTGGGATCCGGATTTTCTTTCTTCTTCTTTTTTCCCTTCTTCTTGGCCATCCTCAGACTCGGATTGGTGGTCTGGTAACTGGCTTATCTCTGAAGAACGGCATGTCTGTGTGGGGACTCGAGCAGCAAGACAATCCTTCCTCGATCAAAGGACGGGCTTCGATTCGATCATCGCCCGACGCACTGGCAAAAGTTGGAAAGGGCGAGAGATGAGATGAGATGTGAGAGAAACAGTCACATCCCATCCCATCCCGGATCCCCCAAAGTTCAAACCGCTGCCACCGACGCTTCACAATTGCTCACGCGCTGGTGGGTCCCGGCCCGGCTCCACTCCATCGAAAGAAAAAAAAAAAATAGTACGCGGGCTCGGCATTGCCATCCCTCGACGTTGAACATCGGCACAACGCTCTTCAGAGTCCAGAATTGCTATCCTGTATGGTACCTACAGAATGTTAAGACAATGGCGGAAGCAAAACGTCAAGGGGCTTACGGCGTTACCTCCATCTGGCGACCTTTCCGCATGTGGATCCCCCGGGCAAGCGACGGCATACCAACGACAAAAAGCCATGCAGCAAATCGGCCGCCTTGGCTTGAAAGTTCCAGTCAACCATCTTCCCGTGGTCCACCATCCATCCATGATCCATCCATGACTTGACTAGGGCATGGATCAATTCCTGAACCCGTTGGCGTCTGCTGGTCTCTTTTCTTACGCGCATCTGGTTTACTTCGTGCCCTCTGGCAACCACCCATGGAACCAACCACACGGAGTATCCGTACCCAGCAACCACTTCAGACGGACAGGTTTGCTTGTTCCTCTTTTCTTTCCGTGTATATGTAGGTATTCGTACTACCTTGCCTTACATCACACACCTTTAGGTACTCTGCGAGGTATCGTCCTCCCCTTACCCTTCCCACCCCATTCACATCCATGCTCCATGCACTGCACAGGTCAAATTCTCCATGATGTTCCCTGTTATCTGAAAACGCCCTTTCCAAGACCGGACCCGCTGCCCCTCTGCATTGGCCCTTGAGTCACCTGCTCCATCTGTCACTAGAAACCTTGAGCCAAGCCAAACTGTGACAAACCCGTCCGTCCTACTTAAGCTCTTGCCGTCACTCCTACAACTTGACCTCGTGGCTTTGTTCTCTTCCTTCTCCATCTTAAGCCGAATCTCTTCCTCCCTGTGTCTTTCACTTATATACACACATATTGCTTGTGTGTTTCCTCTGGCCAGTGCTACTACCTGTTACTTCGTTCAAGTAACGGCAAATCGACCCCTCGACCCCGCCAACTCCGAGATTCTTCATATATCCACCACATCGGTCTCTCACACAAACAACAGACTCACATCAACAATCACAATGGCTCCCGGCACCATCTCCCCCGGTCTGCACCATGGCAACCAGGATATTGACCTGACTTCCTCCGCCATTGAGCACAAGCTCGAGGCCATTCCCAATGGCAAGGCTTCCAACGGCACCAAGGCCACCTACCAGGAGCTTGACGCCTCCAAGCTCATTTATTCCCGTACCCAGAACCCGCGTGCCGTCCCCGATCCTGCCTCCGCCAATGCTGGCTCCGAGACCATCGCCACCGACCACATGGTCGCTGCCACCTGGAAGGTCGGCACTGGCTGGTCTACCCCGGAGCTGAAGCCCTACGGCCCCATCTCCCTCATGCCGACTGCCTCCGTCCTGCACTACGCCACCGAATGCTTCGAGGGTCTCAAGGTCTTCCGCGGCTTTGACGGCAAGCTTCGCCTGTTCCGCCCCGACCGCAACTGCGAGCGCATGCTCATGTCCTCCACCCGCATCGCCCTGCCCTCCTTCCCTCCCGCCGAACTCGAGAAGCTCATCATCGCCCTCATGGCCGTCGACGGCCCCAAGTGGCTGCCTCGCGAGCGTCCCGGATCCTTCCTCTACCTCCGCCCTACTATGATCGGAACCCAGCCCCAGCTCGGCGTTCAGGCACCTTCCGAGGCCATGCTCTACATTATCTGCACCTATATGCCTGTCATGGACTCTCCCGTCGGCGGTATGAAGCTCCACACGAGTCCCGAGGATATGGTTCGCGCCTGGGTTGGTGGATTTGGCTACGCCAAGGTCGGTGCCAACTACGGCCCGTCTCTGCTGGCTACTGTTGAGGCCCGCAGCCGTGGGTTCGGCCAGATTCTCTGGCTGTACGGACAGGAGCAGTACTGCACCGAGGCCGGTGCCAGCAACTTCTTCGTTGTGTGGAAGAACAAGGAGACCGGCAGGACGGAGATCATTACCGCGCCCCTCGACGACAGGTTGATTCTCGACGGTGTCACGAGACGCAGCGTTCTCCAGCTCGCCCGCGAGCGCCTCGGCGACAGCGTCGACATTGTTGAGCGCAGATACACCATCGATGAGGTCATCCAGGCTCACGAGGAGGGCCGCATTGTCGAGTCCTTTGCCGCCGGTACCGCTGTAAGTTTTAATCAATGCCCTCTTTCGTTCAGACGACTTGCTAATGCCATCTCAGTTCTTCATCTGCCCCATCTCTCTGATCCACCACCGTGGCAAGGACGTCAACATGGGCATGGGCGGCGAAGGCGTCGGTGGCGAGTACACTCTCCAGATCAAGGAGTGGATGAAGGACATCATGTACGGCGGCGAGCAGCACGAGTGGGGCGTCGTCGTCCAGGAGGAGCAGTAGACGGATCTGCTCAGACGAAGAAGAGTAAGAAAAGAGACGAGAGACACGGTTAAAGAAACGGCATTAGCCTTGGTCTGAGAACGACCGGGGTTCGGGTTATGAGATTCAGTCATGGCTGGGGCGTTGTATGGCATTTTGCACACCAAAATTCGGCGTTTGCATTGGAGGGTTAACAAGTACCAGAAGGAGTGGTGCATGGTTTGGTAAACTTAGAGTACTACCGCAGCATCAAAATTCACAAGATTAATATGATCATTGGAGATACTCTCGCGTATGCTTGTTGAGGAGGTGAAGAATACTCGATATGAGGAGTCAGCTGATGGTACTTGGGTGAGACCCAATCTGAGCTCGCCCATAAGTTTCCACCCTCCCAATGTATTACGCCAGTAATGGCTGAACACTGCGCATGACTATGAGGCATAGACTTGGTCAACGAGCCACCTTTTACTAGCTCAGCAAATTCACTTTCTTTGGGATGATGAGTTCCTTTGACGACTGCCCCATAACGATTGATGCCCAGCGTACTTTCCTGCTTCATTAGCCACGCAGTCATGAGTCCACAGAGCTGTTTGTGTCTGTTACTTGAGTCCACTTTGGTTGACATATCCAGGGTTCCATCCAACTTGGAAAACATAGCTGTATCTTCCTTCCAACCCATGCATCCACCCCCTCCAACTTTCAACCTCCCCTGCTCCCACCACCACACTCCTGCCTCTTCCCAAATCCTTCCGTCTCCATCTCGTAATCCGGCGGGAACCGCGCGTTCTGGCGCTCAATCATGTCGGCGGCATCATACAAGTCCACCTTGCTCTCGTCGACGGTGCTCCCGACGGGGTGTTCCGCTTCGCTGTTGAACATGAAGAAGGTGTTTGGGGCTGGCGCCTGACCGACGGCGCATTTGGTGTCGGCGACGACCTTGTTGTTGGCGTCGGCGCAAAAGACTTTTCCTGCTGGCGCTGCTGCTGCTGAGGCGCTGCGGGCGCCGAGGAAGGCGAGGGCTGCGGCTTGGAGGCCTGGGAGGGCGATGTGTTGGCTCTTCATTGTTTGTTGCTTCTTGTTTTTGCAGGAAAGAGTGTGACGGCGTGACTGAGTCGCTCGATATAATGAGTGATGCGAGGTGTTTTGTAAGTACAGAATGGCCGGAGTTGATTCTTGAGCGAGTGACTAAAAGCAAGGTCTTTGAGGTGGTCCAAGCAAGGAGCTGAGGATGATGAGCGAGGATGGAGGACTCCGAAAACAGATACTTATAATCATCTTGTCTTCTTACATGAAGTGATCTTCATTGTCTCGAATGACCTCAATCAACTATGCTTTGAATATAGTATCAACTGTTCAAGCTGACTCGCCTCATAATGCAGATGTAGAACTCTAAAGGTTGAGTTGAATAATCACAACTCGCCGAAAGTTGTCTTCAAGCGGCAGTTCCTAGGCAATTGGACACATTCGGAGCGTCCGGACTTTGCCAAGACCGCTGGCGAGTTCAGACGGGCGCATATCATATACGAAGATCAACTCACGGATAAACACCATCAATTCATTCCAGATATCGTAAGTCGCGGGGCTAAACAAGGTCGGGCAGAAGAATGCAAATGAAAAAGCAGAATTCAGGTACTAGGCTTTAGACTTTGCTCTGGCTTGTAGTTCCCAAGCACTCGGATTGAGGCACACGTCGCTTGTGTCAGTGTTCGTCCCATGACTCCGAGAACCGAAAGGTTTGACAGGGGATGCCGGAGGGCCAGCAGTTTGACTAAGCTCATGCCAAGCGTGTAGCTACAGTACTTTACACTTTCCCACGTCATTCGTTGTTCGCGACTCAGGACGGAGGAATGATCATCATCGCTTTTGATTGAGCCAAGACAACTCTAATCAAGTGCTTCTATTTCTACCAGTCGGAACAACCATGATGCTCATTTCCATCAGGTTGAGTGAAGCCTTGGAAGTCTATAACTCTATGTGTCTATTACTGATCAGGGCTTCACCGAGTTATTTTGTGCAGTTTGTATACACGTATAGAAGCTTTCAAGAGACTGAATCATTCTGGAACGGAATGTTTTAGGAGAGTACTTATTGAGACTCGCAGTTCCCGCATACTTACGCTTGCAAGCCATTGCCTACTTGCCTATCCCCCAGCTGCAATTACTAGTTACCACGGAATAGTCACTCTTTTCGTTCCCCTCCAAATTCTTGCTGTCATTCTCCTTCAATAAACTCCTTCTCAGCACTTCTACAACTTTTGCTCGTCCACAGACTGCTATTCTCTCATAGTGAGCCTATAGTCCTCAGCCACTTCGGATCCACCACTGACATATCACCTCCTAGATGCGTCTCCCATCAATCCTCTCGACCACTCTTCTAGTCGCCGGCATCGCCCAAGCCCAAAACTGCGTCGAGAACGGTCCCACAGGCGACGCCATCACCGGTTTCAGGTTCTCGGGGACATGCGAATCCTGGCAGTGGTTCTCGCGCGATAAAGGCACGCAGGTCAAGCTTCAGCCGGACTGCTTCCTGCGCCAGACGTTCCCCAACGCCACACCTGTGGGCCACGTATGTATCCAGCTCGAGAGCGGGGGCCACAAGTGCTTCTCGGCGCCGGGGGCGGGGGCACCGCAGTGTAGGGTGCCGGATGACTTTTGTTCGGGGATCCAGAATATGTGGGGATGGTAAGACGGCCGTTGTCATGCAGTATTGCTGTGTTTGCTCGTTCGAAGCTAGCTGCAGCGATGGTATAGGGGCTGGAACGGTGTTATGAGTTGTGACTAGAAAGTTTTGCTATTCGGGAAGTGGTCCACCTAGTTTCGATATCAGCCGACCAGAGCGGGTCTTCCGGTGCGTACTTATCCGGCGCCCGCTTAGGTGCGGCCGGCAGTTGCTTATATGAATCGCCAAATTGTACAATGGACTAATCCTGGGTTTCTAACTGTTAACGCGTGCAGTCATCTTGTAAAAGCTCCAATACGGCTGAGCACAATAGCAGCTTTCCCCCTCATCTAACGTGGTCTGGGTTGACTGTCATCAGTTTCAACTTCTATTCTACCCAAGTTCATACTAATATTGCGGTGCTTAACGAACCGTTCCTTCTTTGCATTGTCAAGATTTCCGGTGGAAGCATTCCCAGCCTTCTGACGTGCCCAGGATATAGGCGCCCAGAGTCCAGATCCATGCCATTATTGGCACAAGTAAACACAGAGATCGGTCTCGGGCGGATTCGTGCTGTGCTCGAAGAACATCTCACTAACCCAACCTCGATGGTAGGTCTTGTGGTTGATAACATGAAGAAACATGCCACCCAAAGTCATCTCTGCAGGTGTGCCGTTGACGTAATTGAACTTGGATCGCTTGCTGAAGCTTTCCTCATCTTGCCTGGTCGCCCAATCGATGTACCACTGGTTGACCTCAAACTGCTTTTCGACCAACTCCTCAAATTTCGGGTATAACAGATCACGGCGGGTCGAGAAGCCGTGGTCCTCTTCGAGTAGATGTGCACGCCAGATCAGGTCGACCTGATGATTGTGGTTGAGTGTGCCCATCATGGACTTGAAAAGAGTCGTGCGCGGCTGGTAGACCGCCCCAGACGGCAGCTGTTTCTGAATCGCTGCGAAAAGTACTTGGTCGGCCCAGTTGTTATACTTGGCAAGCATAACAGCCGTCTCCCTTGTGAGCATGGTGCGTGTTGGTCTGTTGTGAGATTCGCAGCAAGGTTGGCAGGGAACAAATTGAATATCGAGGGTATTTAATGTGATCTTGACTTTCGTGTAGGGGCAGTGTAGTTATATACCGCTAGATCTCATGATAATATTCAGCCGACACACTTGTGAACGATACAAATTGGATTGCCTTTAGCGTTTGCTCGTTTCCATCTTTCAACTGCTCCTCTTGTTTGCTTTGTCATCCTCTCTCGGACTTGCCCCTCTAATGACATGAAGACATAGGGCGCCTGAACATAAACTTTGCATGAATGGATTGATAAGCATGACGTGGAATTCATCCATGTGCCGGCGGCGAGCAGCCTTTTTTTGCTGATTTGTCGGTCTCCAATCTGTTGATGTTTGCTGAAAGGGCCGGCGGCTTGACTGTGGTGGCTTGGTACGCCTCGGCAGCCGCCGGCCAAACCGATCATAAGGTACATAAAGCGGAACCACTTGTGTACCAGCGGCTTCATTTCTATCGAACGATCAGTGCGTTTAGGACTCGATCAATTTCAGGTCTCAGCCCTCCGTGTTAGAGGCAGCTCAACGTAAGTGACATGCCACATGACTCCTTCTAGGCCTAAGGATAGAATCTGGCTTGATGGTTTCAAGTAAGACATTACATACAGTCTTGCAACTACATACTAACGAATGTTAGTCTAGCATCCATATAGCATGAATTCAACCAAAGATTCTGACAAAATAACGGCGACGGCGGCAGATTACCACATCTCTACACGCGGCGCTGAAGGGTTGCTTTTACGCGATGTTTGGGGCCCCCGAGAAAAGTCAATGGGCAATCCGTGGACTCTAGAAAATCCCAACGGGACGCAAGTAACCCTGTATCAAATTCCTTTGGTCAAAACTTACACTCTTCAGTGTCATCCTCCGCCTAGCTGAGAATAGTCTGATGCACAATGAGATCGCGGATTTCATAAAACAAAAGGTAAAACCTCACCTTTGCCAAGATGACTCATCTCTGAGATCGAAACGTGTAGGTCAGCGTTCTTCCAGTGAACCACTTGACCTACAGCACTGGACCACGAGGATCGCACCGCCTACGCCTTGCGGCCGCGAACTTTCTAACAGAAGAATTCAATCCCCGAAAGCCTCTTGGTATTGGTAATATTCTCATCACTCCAGGCCTGGCTAGTGCTATTGATGCACTGGCTTGGACTTTCTGCGATGAAGGAGATGCTATATTGATTCCACAGCCGTTGTATAATGGATTCAGGGTCGACCTATTGAACCGTAGTAACGTTCAGGTGATTGGCGTCTCCTACACTGGAGTTGAAGGATACACGGTCCTCGACGATGTATTCGACCCCGAAGTCAACAGGAGAGCCATAGCCAGGGCGCTCGATAGAGCCAAAAGCAACGGCATCAAGGTCAAGGCTCTATTAATTTCCAAGTCAGTTGTCCATCCTACATTCCTCCGAGTGCAGGAAGGCGAGAAAATACTCACCAGCCCATAGCCCCCATAACCCTCTAGGAAGATGCTACGTTTGTTCTCCTCAGTCCAAAGTCCCTCAGGCACTAATTGCAATAGCCACCCGAGACTTTGATTGTATTTGCCCGGGCATGTGGCGAGAACGACCTACACTTCATCTCTGATGAGATCTATGCCAAGTCAACATTTCAAAATCCGGCCATTCGCGACGCTGTCCCTTTCCTATCAACACTCTCTCTTGACTTTAGCGGAATCCTCGACGCGACTCGCCACCATATCATCTATGGCGCTAGCAAGGACTTCTGCGCCAATGGCTTACGCCTTGGACTTGTATGTACTAGGAACGAGGGGGTCATGGGAGCGCTATCCAGTATCAGGTATGTATGCCTGCCAGACCTGACTGAGACGAGTCATCTAAGTACGATGAAAGTATCTTCTCGTGGTCACCGCACCTCATCCAGGATGTGTGGGCTGCTATGCTGGAAAACAAATCCTGGCTCGCTGCGTTTACGGCGGAGAAAGCAGACCGCATGGTCGTCAACCACCGTATCACGACTTCATTTTTGCGTGAGCATAATATTCGGTACTTCGACACGTAAGTATGGCTGTTGAGATATTTCGGAATCACTAGACTAATTATTCTGTGTAAAGAAATGCTGGGCTCTTTATTTGGGTAGACCTTCGGCATATGATCACGTCGCCAGAGGACTCACAGCATCGACTCATACTTGACTCCTTGGACGTTGAATCTACTTTTGAAAAGACATATAGACAGCGCGAGATACAAATTGCCGATATCTGCATGAAGCATGGCGTTTTGGTTGCACCAGGTCACGTGTATATGGCGGAGGAATATGGTTGGTTTCGGCTAACGTTCACAGTCGGCAAAGATGCTTTGCAAGAAGGTCTGAATCGCTTTTTGGAGGCAATCAAAGAGGCAGAAGCACATAAGCCGCATACTTGAATGACCATGATCATTCAAATCATCTCTGTCATTAGGGGTTTTGTGAGGTAGAATAGCGTAAAAGCGAGGTAATGCAACGGAGCAACTGTCACTGGAATAACTGTACCTGGTTCCTTCAGCCTTTTTCTTCCTCACCGTTGCTCGAAATATCTAGCCGAAATCGGCTGACATCGGTGCATGGGTACCTAGCAGTTCTTAGCTGACATTGGCCCAACCTAAGTCGGGCCGGACCGACATGGACCTTCTTTGGTCGTGCCAAGTCCATGTTTCCCAGAAGTGAAGTAGCGTGCTACATCCGACCGTCAGGTGTCAAATACCTCATGGTTTCAATTATTGTACCGCATCGTGTCAATTTCCTTGAAAGCTAAGTCTTGTGAAGGTTGATCTCTTGCGCCTGAAGAGCCGGAATAAATCACCAAGTCAATCATTGCCACTGCACTGTACGCGAGATCGAGCACTTCAAGGGCCAGTTCCGAGATCGTGGCAGCCGAATGAGGTGGTCTCTCGATCGGAGCATCGTTGGAACCTGATAACGGGGCATGGTCACCTCTGGGAAAACTTTTTTGGCAAACGATCCCCATCGACGGTACAGGTTGTTGGGGAATCATTATGCGTTCGTGCCCTGGGGATGGCTACAGGTTTCAGTCATATTGGATCCTGTGGACCTCTAGGCATGACTAGTGAGATGGATCTAGAGAGCACTCCGTGTTAGAGCCGGTGGGAGGTCTACATACACCACACGATCAACACCAATCATTCCCCGGCCCCGGTGGGATTTGACAAGGTCGTGATAATCCCGGGGCGGCAGGGCGGGTCTGGCGGACGGAGATGAACAACTCCCCGTCCGGACCGTAGGGTCTTTAAGTGTCCGTTTGGGGCCATAAGATTCAACTCGCGACCTCTTGATTGACGTACCGAATATCACATGGAGAGCCTATCATCTTCTGATGCAACAACTTTGATCTTCCGATACCTTCAAGACCAAGTTCCACGCTAAGCCTTACGCGCTTAACCATGACCTTCAAGATCGTCATTGTCGGCGGTAGCGTCGCGGGCTTGGCGCTCGCCAACATGCTCGAGAAGTTCGACATTGACTATGTTGTTCTCGAAGCCTATCCTGAGATTGCCCCCCAGGTTGGAGCCAGTATTGGACTGTTGCCTAATGGCTTGCGGATTCTCGATCAGCTCGGTTGTTACGAAGCGTACCGGGCCAAAGCTGAGGACCAAGTATACCAACACGCCTACCTCAGGCGGGAGAATGGTGAAATCTTCAGCTACCAACATGATTTGATGGACATGTGGGAGAAAATGTAGGTGGCTTGTGGAATTTTGCGAATCATAACTGACAAGAGAACAGGTTAGGATATCCAATGATCTTCATCGACAGGCAGATGCTTATTCAGGTTCTGTATGAAAACTTGAAACACAAGGATAGAGTGCTCACTTCTCAACGAGTTGTATCCGTGGAATTTACCAAATCTGGTGCTCATGTCACCACCAAAGACAACAAGGTCTTCAGTGGGGACATTGTCGTTGGAGCTGATGGAATTCACAGCACGGTAAGGAAGGAGATGTGGCGACAAGCGCCAACCGGATACTTCCCACTGGATGAGGAATCCAAGGTCCCCGCCTCCACTTTGTGTGTCTTTGGCATCTCTCACAGGCCCAAGGCATACCCCGGAGCCAGTCAGCACAACACGATGTCACCTGGCCATAGCTACTTTGTAATGGCTGCGCCGGGAGACCGCGTGTACTGGTTTTTGTTCATGGAGTTGAAGACTCTCTATGGTAGAGATATCCCGAGGTATGTTACCAATTGCAAGTCTAGAAGACTGGGATTGATCTCCTTCCACAGGTATACCAAGGCCGACGAGGAGCGTATTATCAAGCAGCACTGGGACGACCAGATTCTGGAAAATATGACACTTGGTAACCTTTACGAGAAACGCATTGCTACGACGCTGGCACCGCTTCAAACCTATGTCTTTGAGAAGTGGCACTACAAGAGAGCCATCACCATCGGAGATTCCGCACACAAGGTCAGTACCCAACGTGTGAATGATACTGAGGGAAAGTGGGTCAACAGTACAGTTGCTGATTGACGTTGTCGAATAGGTCGATCCCGTAACAGGCCAAGGTGGTAATGGAGCAATCGAATCAGCTGCACATCTGGTCAACGCCTTGTTGCGCAACCTTGACCAGACCCCCGGTGGTCTTAGTGAGAAGCAGTTGGAGAGTATCTTTGCTGAGGTGCAAGAAAAACGCTTTGTAAGTGACAAGTCATACTCAATGAAGATTCGAGGTCTCGCGACGAACTCGGAGGCTGATATTGGCCGTTCATTTGGATAGGAACGTGCTCAACACATTGTCAAGCAAGGCTACTGGCTCCAGGATGCCTTCACGCTACGAACCAGAATGGGCAAGATGATTGCGCGTTACTTAATGCCTTTGCTGGGCTCCTTCGGAGTCGTCTACCGAGGCGTCGAGTTCTGCGCCCCCGCAACGAAGCTGGAGAGACTAGAAGTGCCTCATCGTCCCAGAGCGGTGTTGTTCGAGGATGAGTTGCCAGCGAAGCCACTCAAGGGCTTGGGCAGTCTGAATAAGCTCTTCTCTGTCGCATTCATGTGTGCGCTCTGTGCCATCGCGGCAGGGGTGTTGCGTCTGCCTAGGAGCCTCGAGACGCTGGTCGACGTCCTGTGCTCTTCCACCAGTGGAGATGCGTCGATGTTGCCGGCTATCGAGTTCATGACGAACACTGCAGCGCTCATTGCTCTCGCACTGGCTGACTTGAACCGCGTGGGAAACCAGCTGACATCTGTGACCTTGTAAGTCGATTCCCAGCTATCACAGCCGATGTAATCGGGCAGACTCCCCCAGAAGCAGACTAACGCGGAGGCACTGAACCCCAGAATCGTAATCTTTACCATCTTCAACAACACGCTCGGTCCAGGTGGTTTTGCCCCAATCTCCTGTGTCTTCGCTCATTGGTCTTGCAACACCATCGTCGGCAGACACGTTCCCCTCGAGAACGCCAAGAGGGTGTTGCCCATCACGGCCGCGGGATATCTCCTACCCGCAGCCGTCGCGCTGTATCGTCAGGACGCAAACTCAATCAACGTCTGGCGCAATGCGCCAATCCTATGCTTCTTGTTGGCTAGGAGTCTCTCTGTGTTTGGACTGCAATCTGGAACCCAGCAACCTGAGAACGAGGAGACCAAGCTACAGAGCACGAGAGAAAAGTACCAAAACATGTTCGCCAAGGCAGATCTCCCAGTTCTTGGCCTCGTCTACTACTCGACCCTGGCGATCTCCGCAGCCATCCATCTCACCAATGTCGCTCTCTTCGGTATGAAGTACAGCTTGTTTGGTGGTGAGAACGCGGCCTTGATGGCTCTGGGCCTGTCGAAGCTGGATACTCTGATCTTTACGTTCTGTTCGCTGCTGCTTGCCCTCGGCACAGCGCCGTGGAGTCTGCGACTTTGCGGATACGTCAATACGAAGCAAGCCTTGACTCAGGCCGCAGCGGTGATTCTGGGATCGGCCATTGTTGGTCCCGCGGCAACGCTCGCAGGTATCACTGCTTATCGTGAGGGAATTGTCGCAGGTCTGAGCCAGTAGAGACATTTTGGTGGAGGGCAGAGTTAAACATGGCTCCAAACAAACCTTTCCTGGTGGATGCAAGCTACCATACCGAGATCCAATCAAGGGTCTTGGGTGCTTGCCTTGAAAGCAGCCCTTGTAAATTAGATAGATTCGTTCATGTGTCAATTTTCACGATAGAACTAGACTCCGTAGTAAGCATCCAGCTCTTCTCTTTTTCATCTCAGCCAATTGGTGTAATTCACGGACAATTTTCATCCCAAGCGTGTGTTGAGCCATTTACATCAAAATACCTTATGCAGGACGTATGTCATCATTAGCTTTCACGCCACAACCAACCAAGGTTTTCCCCGGATGCTAAGTCCCACCCAAATTTCCCCAACCCCCAGAATGTTTCTCTCTCTTGAGTTGTTTAATGCCAAGAGCAAGCTACCCCTCATCTCCGAAGTTTTTAGGTTGCAATCGGATCATGTTCGCTGCTAGAACAGCCGGGTTGGAAAAGTCGTTTTGTCGTGCAGGACGTTACACCCACTCTCTCTGACGGTGCAATTAAGCGGCGGAAAACAGGCGGAAAACTCGTGGGGAACTACCCCGCATGTTGATCACTTCCTTGTTGGCTTATGGTTATTGGACTAGCGGTGGATTTTCTCCTCGCTGATCTCTGGGGAACGGCCGATAATTCTGACGAAGCTAAGGTTCGTGGCCTGCTGGGTGAGCCGGCGCATCGCGAAGATGACCGGCGAACCCGGAGAGGCTGCATATGCAAGGTGAAGGGAAGATTGTATAAATATCGGGTGTTTTCACCGTAAACTCTTCATCGCCGTAGAAGGCTTGATAACCATCCTGCTCCGGCATCAAGCCCATCACAACTCCCTTCGTCCTTGGTCCTCATTCCCGTACGGAACGATGGGCTTCTCGTTGAGACGTCTAGCCGTTGCTGCCTCCGCATCGGTCTTCACTGGTCGCGTGTTGGCACAAAATGGCTCAGCCGCAGGTATGAATGATGCCATGCTGGGACTCACCATGCGCGAGACTAACATCACAAAGGCATTGTCGTTGATGGCAAGTCTTTTGCCCTCAATGGCGACCACTCCTCATACCGCTTCCATGTGGATGAGCTGACGGGTGACCTACTGTCTGACCACTTTGGAGGGTCGGCTACGGAGAGCATGGAAATGCTCGCCCCGGAAATCAATGGCTGGGTCGACATGATCGGCCGGGTTAGACGAGAGTACCCCGACCTTGGACGTGGAGATTTCCGTGTCCCCGCAGTACAAATTCACCAGTCTGAGGGATACACGGTCAGCGACCTCCAATATCGATCCCACAGAGTCACGGCTGGAAAGCCTGGCTTGCCGGGTCTCCCAGCAACGTTTGGAAGCGATAGCGAGGTCTCTACACTTGTCGTTTCTCTCTACGACAACTACAGCTCCATTGCCGTCGATCTTTCGTACTCCATCTTCCCCAAGTATGATGCCATTGTCCGAAGCGTCAACATCACCAACGAGGGGGAGGGCAACATCACCATCGCCAAGGCCGCAAGTCTTAGCGTCGATTTGCCCTTTGAAGACCTTGAGATGATTGAATTGAGAGGTGACTGGGCCCGCGAAGCCATGAGAGTCCGGAGGAAGGTTGGCTACGGCACGCAGGGGTGAGTGAAGAACGACTGCTAAGGTACCCCTGAAGGACCTCGACTGACCTGAATTCCCCATAGCTTCGGAAGCACGACTGGGTACTCATCCCATCTTCACAACCCATTCTTGGCCCTCGTCTCTCCAGACACGACCGAGTCCCAAGGCGAGGCATGGGGATTCTCTCTTGTCTACACAGGCTCGTTCTCCGTTGACGTGGAGAAAGGATCCCAAGGGTTTACCCGTGCCATGCTCGGTTTCAATCCCTACCAGCTCTCGTGGCCTCTTGGGCCGGGAGAGACCCTCACTACTCCTGAGGTTGTCGCTGTATACTCGGATGCTGGTGTCGGTGGCGTATCCCGGAAGTTCCACCGGCTCTACCGCAACCACCTCATGAGAGGCCAGTTCGTCGATCAGACTCGTCCCGCTTTGCTCAACAGCTGGGAGGGTCTCTACTTTGACTACAATGAGAGCACCGTTTACGACCTGGCACAGGAAGCGGCGCAACTCGGTGTCAAGCTCTTTGTTCTAGACGATGGATGGTTTGGTCAAGAGTACCCCCGACTGAACGACACCGCCGGTCTTGGCGACTGGGAAGTCAACGCACAGCGCTTCCCCGATGGCCTCCCAGCTCTCGTCAACAAGGTAACCAACCTCGAGGTCACGAACACGACAGACAAGCTTCAATTCGGTCTCTGGTTTGAGCCAGAGATGGTCAATCCCAACTCTACTCTTTACCACGAGCACCCTGACTGGGCTCTCCACGCCGGCAACTACCCTCGAACGATCAGGAGGAACCAGCTTGTGCTCAACGTAGCGCTCCCAGAGGTGCAGGAGTTCATCATTGACTCGGTCTCCAAGATCCTCTCCAGCGCCCCCATCTCTTACGTCAAGTGGGACAACAACAGAGGCTTCCACGAGACCCCGGTCCCAGGCATCGGCCACTCGTACATGTTAGGCATCTACCACGTCTTTGAGGTCCTCACCTCGCGATTCCCAGATGTGCTCTGGGAAGGTTGCGCATCCGGAGGCGGCCGCTTCGACCCCGGCGTCCTTCACTACTTCCCTCAAATCTGGACATCTGACAACACCGACGCCCTGGACCGCATCTCCATTCAATTCGGAACTTCCCTGGCGTACCCGCTCTCTGCCATGGGTGCCCACGTCTCCGCGGTGCCCAACCACCTCACTGGTCGCACAATTCCCATCAAGTTCCGCGCTCACGTCGCCATGATGGGTGGATCCTTTGGCCTCGAGCTGAACCCCGCCGTGATATCCGCTGAGGATAAGGTGCAGATCCCCGAGCTGTTGGCCTTGGGTGAAGTGGTCAACCCCATTGTGATTGGAGGCGACCTGTGGCGTCTCAGTCTGCCAGAGGAGTCCAACTGGCCGGCTGCCATGGTCATCTCGGAGGACGGGTCGCAGGGTGTGCTGTTCTACTTCCAAGTGCGCGCGCTGTACAATCACGCCCTGCCGCGGCTTAAACTTCAAGGACTGGACCCGACGGCCAAGTACTCTTTGGATAACAACGGTACTTATTCTGGTGCTACGCTCATGAGCACGGGTGTGCAGTACGCTTTTGATGGTGATTACGACAGTCGTGTTGTGCTCATTTCGAAGGTATGATGGAAGCGCCGGATGAGTTATTGGACGGCAGTCTTGCGAAGATGACTAGAGTGACTTTCAAGCAGAAGCCTGAGTGATAGCTAGAATTAATCTTAATCACTTGACTCATCCCTCGGGAACCACGGGCTGATCCTAGGCCCCTCTTCATTACTTGAGATGGCAACACGTTGCTCGTGACTTACCTAGGGCATGCATTGATCAACCCGCATCTACAATCAATCACTGATGTTAGCCGTGCTACGTATCGATGTTGCTCAAGGAGCACGTGGAAGGACGCATTGAGATTGCCGATCAACTCAAAGGCATGTTCCGAAACCTTGGTTGAAGCTATTTCCTATTTCGAGCTGCGAGACCATTTGGCACGGACTTTCTTCTCTTTGAGCCAATGAAAGACAAGGAATTGCGACCCGACGAATCATGAACGAAGGCCGGAGGCCCGGAGCCGGCGATACCACTCGAGTCTCGAGCAACTTTCAAGGCTTGCCGTGATTCCAATGTTCGCAACACTCTCTCAGTGGCTCTTTTGAGTGAGCGTGTAGACACCGTATCAACTGCCTTGACAGCGTATAAGTGGAGAGTCGAAAATTGTTTGGCGCGGATCTCATTCGCACTCGCTCACCTCTCAGAGAGACTCACGGGCGGCTTGTCGAAATGGATGGAGTTCAATCCCGGCCGCAGCCTCCAAGAGGCGCCAATAAGTCGAAGTCCCGCCCAACTATCCGAGTCAAGAGCGGCTGCAAGACCTGCAGGTGCGCCCACATCATCTCGTGTTGTAGTTTTTATGACAATATCTTCTAACTGATACTGAAAACTAGGATTCGAAAAGTAAAGTGTGATGAGACCCGGCCAGCTTGTCGACGCTGTGTCACCACAGGCAGGACCTGTGATGAGTACGGCATTTGGAGTTCCAGAACCCGAAGTCCAGCCCCATTCATGTCGCAACAGGCATCATCTATCTCACTTCGCAACATCCGCACCTCCGTCTCGGGGCTGTCGGACGCTGAGAAGAGGCTTTACGAGTGGTTTTCACGTCGGACAATCGCCAAGCTGGCAGGGATATTCGACTCTGCTTTCTGGGACACCATCGTTCTCCAAACCAGCTCGAGAGAGCCCGCCGTAATGCATGCAATCTTGGCGCTCGCCTCCGTTCACAAGCACCAAATGACAGATGCCGCCTCTGTGCCTAATCAGCTAGTCTCCCCTTCATTGGATGTCCAGGAACGCAGCACTTTACAGCACTACAATAAGTCAATAGTCCTTCTTCGAGAACGTTTGGCCTTGAACAATCCCATGTCGGCACAAGTAGCTCTAGTTTCTTGCATTCTCTACATATGCCTGGAGTACATGCGTAAGAGATTTAAGGCAGGTCATTCTCATCTGAACCACGGCTTGAACTTATTGAGTCACATCATACCTGATCTCAAGTCGGGAGACGGTATAGGCGATGCCCGCTGCCACAAGGCGTTAGATCCCATGGTCGAATGCCTTATTGACACACTCTCACAACTCTACTATCAAGCAAGATCGTTAAAAGGTCCATTCAGTCAGGAAAGGCAGTCCGACGGATTGCGTCCCTTGGGACAACTCCCCGGCTCTTTCGGGTCACTAATAGAAGCTCGGAATCATCTAGATCAACTTTTAGTCAGGGCTCAGCGGCTACGACGATGTTGCCTAGCGAGTGCGACAAGTCCCGACGTGTCTCAAGCATTCGAGATGCTTGTCATTCAGTCATGTCTAAGGAACGACTTGATATCATGGTCG